CGTACTATTTGAAGCAAATATGTGTTTACTAATAACGAGATAATCCAAAATTATCAACCCATTAATCTTAGGGTGAAGAGTATATTGTAACCCAAAAATTAAATTGAACTGAATAAAAAATTAGATGGTATAATTAAAAATTAGATGGATCGAACTTAAAAAGTTTTAAAACCCATTTGCCTAGCATATTTTTTAAAAATCAGTTCAGGTTTGGTTTGCTAAAAAAAATTAAAACCAAACAGATTATTATTTTTCAAATAAAACAGGAATATATGTTATTAGAATTTAGCTAGTAAACATTACTTGATTATCTAAAATTACATTCCAAATGTTTTTGTGCAAAGTTTTTTTTCACCTTAGTTTTTAATACGCTTTAGTGTATAATATCTCGATAAAAAAGCAAATCATGTGCATCAACGGTAAGGCTAGCCTCCAGTCGTTTTGTTCGAAGTAGATCGTAAGCTATCAATCGGATTTGTTTTTTTCGTCTTTCATGTACTTCTAGCTTTTTACCTCGATTTGTTGTCTAGTATTCGTTTTTATCGTTTGCATTTAAAATTCCTATTTTCCTTGATATTTGTATTAATCTTGTTTTTGTGTGTTTTGTTTGTCTTTCTCATTACGAATATGTGATTTGGTACAAGGATAGACCTTTGGTAATTGGAATACGTGCAATTTTACGTTGTCTGACAGGTCATTGAGCAGGCTTCTTCGAAACTTTATCAAACGGGATAATTTCGTAAAAATAATCAGAGGTGGAGGCTTATTAATTTCGGAAAAATAATCAGAGGTGCAATTTTACGTTGTCTGACGGGTCATTGAGCGGGCTTCTTCGAGTTATCGTTCATTGTGTCGTCGCCTGTTTTTAGAGTTTGTTGTGCAAGAATTCACTGCATGATTAGTCGAAAAGTTTCAAAGAGAGCTGTGATAGTTTCTTCATTATGTCATAAAGTCAAGTAATAGCTAAGCTCTAATTGCACAAGATGAGGAGATATGTTATAATTATTAGATCGATTCCAATCATCATTATGAATGTTTTCTCCTTTTTCGTATAATTTCTTTCCATTATCTCTTTTTCATCGTCTTTGGCTATGCTGCTCTGGTGACCGGTGTCGATATTGCACGACTTCGAAAGCGTCGACACCAGTGTTATGTTTTTTTTCTTTGAGTTTAGTACAGTTTTGGGATGGTCTAATTATTGGTGGATGAAGATCATGAAATAAAAGCCGATGAGGATCTAGATCTAGTTGGATTTAAGCTATTTGGAAGATGAGACACGAGATCTATATGATCCAGAGTGAAGCTGGCCTCCGATTGTCACCAATTTCGTTTGAACTAGATCGTGAACCATTAATCGGAATTGCTTTTTCTGCCTCTCATGAACTTTGAGCCGTTTATTTCGATTTGTTCCCTGATATTCGCTCTTATTGTCATCTGCATTTGGAAATCCTATTTTTCTTTGCGTTTGTATAAACCTTGTTTTATTGTGAGATTTGTTTCTTTTTCTCTGTACTAATCTGTGATTTATACAAAGATGGATCTTTTAACTAGAGTTGTGTCCTTATTGTTAGTCGTTTATCTATGTCAATGTTGTAAAAATTATGTTTTTTTTTTGTTTTGGCGATTGGAATTTGTGCGATTTTAGATTGTATGACGACGGATCAGTGAGCGGGCTTTTCGAAACTTTATCAATCGGGATAATTTTGGTAAAGTAATCGGAGGTGGAGACGCATCAATTCCAAAGAATGTTAGGTGTCTCTTCGAGTTATCGTCAATTGTGTCATCCCCCATCTGTCGAGTTTGTTGTGCAAAAATTCACTTTGATGATCATTTGAAAACTTGAAGCAATGTTGTGAATTGTGATAGTGTCTCCATGGCATTATTAAAATTTGTTATCATCCTATATATGATTGTACATGACATTTCTTTCTCTTATGGTTCATAGTTGTTTTTCCATTTGTTTTGTAAACTTTTCAAATCAATATTAATCAAATGAAAAAATATATAATTGTTTGATTAAGAAAATTAACTAATTTCAAAAGAAAACATGATTAACAAAAATTAAATAAATGCATTGAAGTTGGTGTGAAAAAGTGAGAGAGAGAAAGTCAAATTGAATTTGAAAACATTCAATGCAAAAATGGTCTGTGCTTGTGTTATTAATTTTTTTTTTAAAAAAAAAATTAATTAAAGTAAAATCTTTATTCCAAAACCCTTTTGTACTTCCCCACATTTTTTCACCAATTACACTTGTCAGCTTGCTTCTTCCAATATCTATATCTACAGTACTTATATATGATAAAATTTAAAAACTAACTTCTGGATTTTAAATAGATTTATAATTATCCAATAGTCAAACAGATTTGTATTATCCAATAGTTAAAGAATATATATAAGATTCAATAGGTGACATAATCATAACAGTAAAATCTCATTAACAACTTTGACATCCGATTATTTAGGTTGTTGTTATTGCTTTTATATTTACGGAGAATATCATACCTGTTTTAGAAATTATGAAGATTATTTAGCTGTTTTTTTTTGTTTTTGATAAAGTAATTAGTTAGTTGGTTTTACGAAGGATTTGTGTTATATATTCGATAAAATATATTTCACTTTCTAAACGATTATTCAAAATCAAAGATTTCCAAAATGAAGATTCTCAAAATATTAAGAATGATAACCAAAATCCGTTTAAAACTGAGAAATCTTTTCAGTTTCCCTTTTTAAAACCCCTATTCTTATACGTGAAACAAAAAAAAAACCCGTATTTTTAATATGCAATATAAAGGCGAGCTATATGGAAAGTTTTAATTTATTTTTCTTCTCTTAAACCTAGATTATTCTTTCGTTAGATTTGAACCTTTTATTAGATCTTATTTCATTTTTAAAATTAAGGAGATTTCTCTTTATTTTTAGTTTGCACGCCAAACAGTAACATCTAGTTTTTCTAGATCATCGGTGCCACAAAATCTCTGTACTCTATTTCTGAAAGTAGGGGTCTACGAGACAATATTTTGATAAGATTGTTATAAATGGATACAATTAAATGTGACCAATTAGAGTATTCAATGGTTTCCACTTTCCACCAAAAAAATTAGAGTATACAATGGAATTAGAAGAAAAAACAAGATAAATATTATCCTTTGGTTCCTCTTCTTTTCTACTTTTAAGAAATTAAGAAAAAAAAACCAAAGTAAAATTCATTTTAGCTGAAAAAGCATTATATCGTTAAGAAAAAACCAGTCAAAGCATTAGACTTCCGGTCTACATACACAGACAGTTACATGAAATACACATTACCATGCATAGAGTAGTGAATGAAATCTTAATTAATTTTTAACCAAGAGGTAACGGTTAAAATGAATTTATTAATATATTTATGTCATTCACTATATATTTACATTAATGTGTGTGTGTGTTTATGCGTGGAGACTTAACGATAGACACATTGAATTTTTTTTTTTTTTTTTTGTGGTCAGCAGGAAAATGTGTTTTGTATTTATTTAGTAAATCTCTTTCCTTCTTTTAAAAGCTTTCGGCTAAACATTGTCCTATTTGAAGAATATGTATTTTCTAAGAGTGATATAATGTAAAATTATCAAAACCATTAATTTTATGGTAAATAATATACTGTAAGTCTGTAACCCAAAAAAATTAGATGGTTCGATTTGAGATTTTTTAAATTTTAAAACTCATTTGGCTAGCATTTCTTAAAGAATCATCAGTTTAAGTTTGATTTGATTAAAATAATGTAAAACCGAATGGGCTTGTGATTTTGAATTTCATACGAATATATATATATATATATATATATATATATATATGTTATTAGTTTTAAGTTAGTGAACGTTTTCTTTTTTTTATTCAACTAGTTAGAAAACATTATTTGATTATGTCTCAAGTTGCAACCCAAATGTTTTGGGTAAAAGTCTTCACTTAATAACTTTATACGCTTTAGTGTACAAAATCTCATTAATATAAAAGTAAATCATGTTCATCATATAATTTATGGTTTGATATATACTAACTATGTATGTGTAAATAATTTTTTTGATAAATTACATGTTCTTGGCCATAAACATATGAGAATTATTTGATAAATTACATGTGTCAAATAGGTTATATAGTTTCTACAATATTTAGTCAAATATTTCTTTTTGGCATTTATCAAATAGGTTATAAATTAAAGCTGTTTTAATTTTATTGCTTAAAGTAAATGGTCATATAAGTTATATTATTGATTAAATATTTACTAAATAACCTATGTCTTACTAGTATTGGTTAAAAAACTTTAGGGGAAATTTTTTTCATAGAAATATATAATGGATAAAAAAATTTTATCTATTAAATATATAAAAGGAAAAATTTTCTTCTATAAAACTCGTGAGGATAAGATTTTGAGCAAAATTACCAAAAATTTTCTTTTTTTCTTCTTTATCAATTCAAAGGTTTTAATATTACTTAATTTTCGTAATTATCAAGCTTATAACATTAATTGCTTTTATTTGTGATAACAAGATATTAACAGGTTTTAGATGATAATTTTTTTTTTTTTTAATGAAAAATGTTATTAAGGGAAAATTTTGATCATTGTAGAGAAGATTCCCTCACTAGAAGCATATTCATATGAATGACAAGCTGGAAATCCCAACTAAATATTTCGATAATCTCTTAATACCCTCTTAAGACCTAACCGTATTTTTAGAGAACTTGTTAGTAACGACTGAATGCAGTGCATCACATTAATTGAAAAATGAATTTATTTGACTATGAATATAATAATGAATATATTAGTATCTTAATTTCGATAAAATCCACAATATATACATGAGTGAGTGTGTTTGTGATGTTGGAGACTGAACCATCAACGCTTTTTCAACACTTCTCCTTCTTCCTCCTTTCTCTCTTCATGCAAAATCACAGTTACAAGAAATAAACAAAAAAGATAATTAAGAAGAGATTATAAAAACATAAAGAGACAAAAATGAGTGATGGTCGAGTTAACGCAGATCAACAACAACAAGAGAACATGGTTAAACCACCGGTTAAGAGATCTCACACTCTCCTCATCGTCACTTACGTTTGTCTCTTCGTCGGCTCCATCGCTTCGAGCCTTCTCGCCAAGTACTACTTCGTCCACGGTGGCTCGAGCCGTTGGGTCTCGACGTGGGTTCAGTCCGCTGGCTTCCCTCTCCTCCTCACCCTAATCTACTTCCCTCGCTATGTTTTCAAAACCACCACCCGCCGTCCTTTCACGCGCTTCACGCGCCGCCATCTCATCTTCTCCGTGTTGATCGGGTTCGTTCTCGGTTTCAACAACTTCCTCTTCTCATGGGGAACCTCGTACCTTCCGGTGTCCACGTCATCGCTTCTCCTCTCGACACAACTCGTCTTCACTCTCATTTTGTCTGCGATCATTGTGAAACAGAAGATCAATTTCTCAAACCTCAACTGTGTTGTTCTCTTAACGTTAAGCTCTGTTTTGTTGGCTCTCGGTTCGAGTAAAGATAAACCGGCCGGTTTAACTAAAACCAAGTATTACATCGGGTTTGTGTCCACAATCGGAGCCGGTTTACTCTTCGCTCTTTACCTCCCCGTGACGGAGAAGCTCTACCGTAGCGTTTATTGTTACGCGATGGTCATGGAGGTGCAACTGGTGATGGAATTCGCTGCCACGGTTTTCGCGACAATCGGTATGGCTTTTGACGGCGGGTTTAGGGAAATGGCTAAGGAAGCTAACCATGTTTTCACCAAAGGACCAACAGTTTATTGGACGGTTGCGATTTTTGCGAATGTGGTGACGTGGCAGCTCTGTTTCGCAGCCACGTCAGGAATGGTTTACTTGACCTCAGGTATCACCGGAGGTATCTGCATGACGGCGTTGCTTGCGATGAATGTGATAGGAGGTGTGGTGGTTTACGGTGATGAGTTTGGTGGAGTGAAGATTGTGTCGACGGTGCTATGTATTTGGGGATTCTCATCGTACATCTACGGGATGTATATGAAGATGAAGGAGGAGGAGAAAGAGAAGGGAGAATATTCCGGCGTAAAGACGACGGAAGACGGCGGAGAGATGGAGGTGGAAATGGGAAAAGTTAAAGATGACGTGGCGGCGGCGGATGATAGGGTTTGAAGATATCTGTGTGATTGAGACGGCCGTTATGATTATTATTAGGAAGGAAGCCAACAAAAAAAAAAAAAAGTAGTAGTATCTTTTTGTGTTCTTTCTTTTTCTCACCTTATTTTTTTTTTTCCTTTTCTTTTGTTTTTTAGTAATGCATTTGCTTTTGTTTTTGTTGTTTTTTTTAGGTTGTTTTGTTTTTCCTTTTCTGGTTATTTTTATGAATTATCCTCTTATCATGGCCACAACTAATGATGTTGTACACTTTTTAAGTGTGGATTTTCCAATATCGGTTGATAAGTATGTATTTTTCTGTTATCTATGGCTTTGATTACTTTTATTAAATAGATGGCATGTTATTTTCCTAATCGCCGCGACAGCGATAGAGAAATTATACTAGTGTGACCATCGACGTACTGAAAATAGGGCGATGATAAACAGCTTTGAATTAAATTCAACGCTGAAAATAACATTAAGTGCGACAATTTTTTTCCCAGCCGTTGTGACTCTGGTTTTTGGAGTGGTTTTCAGAAAACTTTTGATTTCGATTATTACGGTATTTTAATTTTTTGATCATTCTTGCTGATTCCGCGACTATAAAAAAGAACAAGTCCAGAGTATTCCTTTTAACTAAATTAAATTTTCTTAACTTTCACCAGTACAAAAAATATGATTTTTTTTGTTGGCTGCAGTAGAAAAGAACAAATCTTAAAGGAATAAAACTCTTTAAGAAAAAAAAAATTGCTCAAAAAATACTTTTATTTTCTTCTTATTACTCTTTTAGTTTTACCAATATAATATATATATATATATATTATATACGATTCATTTGACAGGCAAAATAAAGCATACGAAGCAAAAATTTAAAATCTTACCGGACAAATACGTTGGAGGAATATCAGTTCTAAAAAATATACTCACATTTGTTATGAAGAGATCACAAGGATTTTTGATCAAATCAAATAAATCAACATTAGACCATCTCCAACGAGACACCAAATCACTATATTTGATGATTATTAAACTCCAAAGGAACGGCATAATAGACTGCATAAATATTTTTTAGTGTTTTATGATGGTGTAACACTGTTTATAAAACACTAAAAAATATATTCTTATTTTATTTATGTTTTTGATTTAGTTTTATATTTTTTTTTGTGCAAATATTTAGTTTTATATTTAAATTGTTGTTTATCAACTAAAATATAAGTATGCTGTCAATATTTTTGTGTGTTTCCATTTTTAATATATGAACTTTTATTTGAAATTAATATGAAATAACAATTTGCACAAATTTTTCTAAATAAATACCAAATTTATTAAAATTAAAAATACATATTAAAGTTTAAAAATACATTTTTAATTTATCAATTATAGTCTTATATTGATTAAACTAAAATAAATTAGCTATAAAAATAAATATTGTTATCAAACTATTAAAAACAAAAAAAGAATTTTAAATTTAATAATATAATAATATACATCAGTTGCCAACAGAAATATTCAAGCTATCCTATACTAATATTTGGGAAGTACATCCTAAGGATCATAACTTAAATTTTGTAAGAAATTACAATATATGCCATTATATAATTCTAATCATAAAATTTATTCCATGTCACTAATATATATTAACGGGTCACCGGGTCAACAAGTTTAAAGATATTAAAAGATTTTGTTTATATAATACATAATTAATATAATTCGAGAATATTATATACCAATCAATATTCGAGATTATATAATACATAAAAATGTTATATAATACATAAAAGATTTTGTTTATATAATATATAAAAATGTTATATACTAATATACTAATATATTATTCGAAAATGTTATTGAAAATTAAAAATGTTATTCAATTTGTTATACAGTAATCCATTATTCGAACATCTTATAAAAAATGTCATTGAAAATGTTAATGAAAATGATATATCATTGAAAACATTTTATATCAATCCAATTTATAAAAAATAAAATATGCTATTTTGAATTATAATACTCATATAGTTCGAAAATGTTATATAAATTAAAAATGTTATATAATTCTTCATTTTTTAAAAATGTTACTAAAAATTGAAAATGTGTCTACGTTCTTATAACTAAACAAAATTTATTTTCAACTACAATTCGTAATCTTTGACAATATTTTCAGTTTCCTAAACATCTGTTATCATCTTTGACAATATTTTCAGTTTCCTAAACATCTGTTATCATCAATTTCATTGTTTTTGATTAAGCTAAACAATACAATATTTTCAGTTTCCTAAATCTTTGTTTCTGACTTCAGTTGATTATATTGTTTAGGTAGTATATTCATTTTTTAATTACGCGGGTCATTGGGTCATCAGACGGGTTTAATTATACTATCTTAACAATATAATCACATAATTTTGTAATTAATTAATTAGGGAGATTTCGTAAATAATAAAATCAATTCAAACTAATAAGGCAAATCCTATACTATTATTTGGGAAGTACATCCTATAAGTCGTAACGTTAATTTTGTAAGAAATTATAATATATGCCATTAGATATCTCTAATCATAATCATTTTAATTCCATGTCACTAACATTAACAAATTAATTAAAAAATGGGTCAAATAACGAAAAACGGGTTTAAAGATCTTAAAGATATTAGGTTGTTATATTTTGTTTAGATATAAATTCGTATTCAAGCAATTCGTAATCTTTGAGAATATATTCAGTTTTCCTAAAATCTTTGAGAATATATTCAGTTTCCTTAAAACCCTTTATAAAAAAAATAAGTTATAATAGTTGTTATATTCTAGATCGTTTTTTGTTTAGTTTTACGTTTTTTGTTTAGTTTAATCACGCATCAATATAATCAGCTATTCAGTTTCCTTAAAATATTTTCTAAAGATTGTCAAATCTCTCTGTTATATAATTTTGATCCTATATTCCAAATAATCTAGAATATACCTTTCTAAAATATTATCTAACTATTTTATGTTAATTAATATATTTCTGAATCTCTTAATTATCACAAACAATCTACAACTATAAATATCCATTTAGGCTTGACGTACCTTTCTCACAGAAATCATCTCAGCACCATTCTCATATCCTACAATTAAAAATACAGCAGAAATGGCTATGGTTAGTCCCTACACTCCTATTAACAATTTGAAGCATGTCAAGACTTTTTGCTGTATTCAAGTTAGTATATTTCATTCGTGGATTCATTTTACAAAAGGTTCTGGCATATCTTTGGAAATGATTTTGAAAGATGAGCCTGTAAGTACCATTGAAATTTTATACAATTCTCTTTGTAATATATGTGCCGTAAGTTTTAAGTCATCTTATTTTAATTACAGGGTAACAAAATTCAAGCAGACATCAAATAGGAACAGATCAGCAAATTCCAAAGGTATGTTAAACCGTTTTTTTTCCTTTTTTTTAAACCATGAAACTAGACCCCACAAACCCAATATAATCCATTAAAAAACTTAGACCCAATACAACTATTTTTTTGTTTGTTCACAATCACACAATAAAATTATCAATTCCTAATTGAACCAAAGAAATTATTAATCTCATATAAAAAATACAAATCTAATGCTGCTAAATATATTAAATTCTAAAATACAATATTCTCTCCTTCTTTAGTCAAATAAAATATATAACATTATATCCAAATAGTAATAAATATAAAATATTATGATATATTCTCTTTTATATTATACTATTATACTAAATTATTCCTTATTTCTTCGAACAAAATATACAATTTAATTCATGAAAAATATTAAATCCCGTGCTGTATAGCACGGGTCATGATCTAGTATATAGTAGATAAAAGATGATCAAAAAATAAAATGGTTCCAAAGGTGGATAATTTCGATTATACTCAGTGCCGGCTCATATAGGGGGCGGGCGGTGCGATGGTCAGAGGCTCAATCTCGTGTTTCAATAATTAACGGACCCATTTTTAAAAATATTTTTTAAAAAAATATTAATAAATTAGATTACAACATAAAAATAAACTTTAGAAAGGTCTAATTTTTTTTTATGTATTGTTTTTGGTTTTAGTAATTAGTTTTTAATAGAAACATGATACACAAATTTTTTATAGCAAAAAAATATTCTAAGGGACCACAATTTTTTTTTTTGCTCTAGCGCCCAAAAAAAAATGTTCTGCCAGCCCTGATTATACTGGCTGTTTTTTTTTTTTTGATGGAACGAACAATTAATAAGACAAAGCTTAACCTCAAGAGAACAACACAACTAAGATTGGAGAAAGTAATCCTCTGTTTTTTTTTGGGGGCAAAAGTAATCCTCTGTTTAACAACACACATATATATATATATAGGTCATGACTACATTGATAGTGTTGGTGGCAATGCCAAAGCTGTAGGAGAGACATTTTTTAGTTTTTCTTCGTAATGGAAGTTTTTGAGAGAGCTTGTTTTTTTCAGTATCTCCTTTTTCATCTTCTTTGTCAAGAAAATCAATGTCATGAAGAAGATAACACTTGTGCACACAAAAAAAAATGAAGAAAAAAAATGAAGAAGAAAGGTAACACTTATTTATTTATTATTTTGTTCTGTTTAAAGCTTATATTTAATTTATTCATATTATGTTTTGATATAAAGAAATACAATTCTTTGTTTTATATTGATGATATGAAACAGATTTAGTTTAAATTTTAAAGCAAGATTTCTGTTCGGAGTTTCTTGTAGATCAAGTAAAGTATCATCTGAATCACTCCAAAGACAACCAAAAAAATTTAAAACACCAATGATACATATATGAATTAATCTAATGGTAGTTTTTTTTTGCTTTAAAAATACCTTAGAAGATATATTTTTGTAATAAATAAGCTTCTTCAAACTAGATAAAATAGATGTGAAGGCATTTATTGTATTCAACTGTATACAAGTATCTGAACAGGACAGTACGTAAAAGAATACCAGTTTTCATATTCCAAACTGTATATCTTACAAATCTAATCATATAGAAAAATTCTTTTACTGATGAGTAAATTTTTGTTTCAATTTACATGGATAATTCATATTGTTACTAATATTTATATCTATAATTATGCTAAAGTATGATGAATATTTACAAATGATATATCATACAAAACATATAACAATATACCTGTTACACTTACACCCAATAACATATAAAACAACAAAAAAGGAAAAAAGTTGTCGTTTATGGGAAACAACATACCAAACAAAGAAAATGAAAGTGCTCACGATCTATAAGATTCCAATTAGACAAATATTAATGATGATCATGATGGTTAATTAGAGTGTTAATAAAATGAATGAGGAAATAAAGAAGAGACACGCTTAATGGTGATGATGCAGCTTGGCATTAACTCGGTGTTATTTACGAACATTGTCTCCTTAATGCTCCTTTAGTTTTTGTATTTTTCTTTGAGCACTTTAAAATGAAAAAGATGGGTTTTTCTTATTAATCCTTTTTTCTTATGGTTTCTGGCTCTTCACTTATATTTTAAACTCTAGTAAATTTCTTAGAGCCCACAAAATCCAAAATTTTGTTGCTTTTGATTCAACCACAAATTATATCGAAATTGTGATCCAATGTAGGGTAGTGTATGTTTCCATGACGTGTTTTAAACACCACTCTACACTGTAAGTATATCATTAATTAATAAATCTCATAATTCCACATAAAAATGGTAAAATCGTTTAAAGAATGGTTAATTCCGTCTATAAGAATCTTAGTCCAATTATATTCAGGAACAAACGATTTAACTATCATGTATATTATAAACCCTATTATAAACTGGTAGTAATGAATCTACAAAATCTGTATATACTAAAATAACTATTAGAAAAACGAGGAAGCAGAATAAGTAAGCATTTTTTTCGTATAGGTACGTTCGGAAAAGCATGAAAACTCGTCGATCTAATATTTGTCAATATTAAAGTTGTTTAAATAAACTAGATTTTTGTAAAGTTTTGTAATATAGTTATATAGATTATCTCTTTTGATCGATGGAATATTTCTAAACGAGCTGAGAATACACTGAATGGACTTTAGGGGTGAATAAAATATAAAAGGCATGATTAACGAAAGTGCGTATGTAATGAATGACTAATGAATTACGCCATTAAGCAACCCCAAAAATGATCGAGATTGGTTAAATAAAATAATAAATATAGACTTAAAATATATAAACAAACACATGTTGTTGTATATATTAGGGATATATAATTGAAAGTGGGCTTTCTTCGTTTTAGGTTTAGGGATTAAACTTCAAAGATTATAGATCATAGATTTGAGCTGTAATAAAGAGGTTCACACGTCTATTATCATACCAATATACATCAAAACTCTGACAGAGTTGGTACCTAAGACTGTGCCTAAGAACCTACATTAGACACAGAGATAGATGCTATGGTCTGTTGCTTTTAAAAAATTAATTACGTTTCCAAGGTTTGGGGTTTGGGATTGGTATTTGGTAATATACTATTAATATCTAGAGCAACAAATATATATTCCGCGTTCCTTGAATAATTTACCTTAGGGCATCATCAATGGGGGATCATGTGAGGGTGTTCTTATAGAGAATATAATGTTAAAATAATGTAAGATCATGTGTTTAGATCTTTTGTTTAGAAGTTGATTAGTGGGAGAACATGTGTAAGATCTTAAGACTTAATAATATAATAATCTAAATTAAATTAAGATTTTACAATTATTAAAACATTTAAAAATAACATATAAATTGCAAATGCCAAATTTATGAAAAACTGAAAATAAAAGTGAAAATACAATACTAAATATTTATGAAAAAAACATTAAAAATATAAATAACAATAAACAAACAAACATATTACTTAATAAAAGCACAAAAATATTTTATCTAATTAATACATAGTTTATTATCCAAATTTATTCCAAATATGTTGAATATTCCAACCAATGCCCAAATGCCACGTCACCCCGCAACACCCACAAGAACAGATCCAGGTCAAGAGCCCAGTTCCTGATCTTAAGCCCATTAACCCATTTTTTTGGATTTAAATAATGCTTAGATCAGGGGGTGATCCCCCAATGCAGATGGTCTTACCAATCTTATAATTAGGAATCATGTTTTTCATTAATTAATTCTAAGATTTTGATTGGTAAACATTTCAAAACCGTAGAATCGTGGTTTCTTTTAAACAAACAAAAATATTTAGAATTGTATGATTGAATGATTCAAAGAGAGAAAAAATAAATGCAACTAATAACTGCAACGTGACAAATTTCTTTTGTAGTTTTCATTAAATACACGTAGATCAATAATCATCAAAATAGAAATAGTCTTGATTTCGCTAACAAAACAAACTTACTAATTCTTATTCACGTAATTATCAATTATCATTTGACTTTACCGTCGATTACTATCTTTTTTTTGTTTTTGTTTTTGTTTGTTTTAGAGTGTTAAAGCCTGGTCATAAGCCAAACAATTATCACTATCAGTACTAAAATTTGTAGAGAAGCTTTGAAAAGAGGACATGAATTATTTTATATTATGGTTAATGATCTTTCAAACAACTGCTCATCCGATCGTCCACAATATCTTGATAATCTCATTACTTAATAAACTTTAGATTATATCAAACAAGTTTAGTTAGATATGTAAAGATAGATGCTATTGCTACATCTCAAATCTAGTCCAATTAGGTTTTCTCTAATTACACAAATCTAAAAAGAAAGAAAGAGAGAGTTCGTACCGCAAAACAAAAGAAGGCACGCAAAACACGACTTCGGTTATCCATAATCCCATTAGAATATAAATATGCAAGCTATCATTTTACAATTGTGTCTAAAACAATTAGTCCTATAAACGTCCATTAAGAAAATAGCTAAACTAAAATAAAGATATAAATGTACTTAGTTAATCGTATAAAGTATCCGTAGGACCGTAGCAAACTATCTTCGACCTCTAAAGCAAAGTGTGCCGCCTTCTTTCTTTCTTACATCAAAATTTTCAACTTAAAAAATGTAATTAAAAGTGGATATTCGTAATGTTCATCACGACTACAAGAGATACAAATGAGATTAATCATTATAAATTTAGAATAATAACATAAATAATTAGACCCACAAATAGATGCTTCTAATGATGAAATGATTATGTGGAAGACATATGAAGGTTTTCACTTTTCACCAACTAAACTCTTCACTAATCCCCCACCCCCACATATATTTATTATACTATTGGCATCAAAATCTAACTTTTGTGTTTTCTTTTTCTTTTTCCCTTTCATTTTCTCACCTATATAAGTTGAGAAAACTAGATTTGAAGTAAAAGTCCATGAATGCATACTGAAACTAGATAATCGAATCGTTTTCAAAAACATATATAAGAGCAACCCCAATGGGGGTTTCTAAACATGATTCTTAATAAATAATAAAATATGTATATTATTTAAATATTAGATGGGTACCTTAAATTTGGAGAAACTTAGCCCAATTGTCTAAACTTAGAAACAATTGGGCTAAGTTTCTCCAAATTTAAAGTACCCATAATTAAAAAGTATTATTTATCTATACTTACACTTTCATTTTATTTAAGAAACCTATGTTTAGAAACCCCCATTGGGGTTGCTCTAAGGTCCCATAAAGATTCCAAGTCTTAATTTATATAAATATCATGTACATAGTTTCGCTTTAACTTTCACAATATACATCATTTTTTTTATTTTTTTGACATCACAAGATATAACTCATTTGTTACTGTAGTCAACTCTTAATCAAAGTCATTACGTTTTTAAATTTTTATACAAGATACATTTAGGAAGCAAAACTAAAAATATGGTTGTGAATTTAATTGGCATATTTCTGTATGATAAAATAATGGGCTTTGAATTCTTAAATGGGCCATAAGCCCATAAACCATTTGGTGTTTTTTTAGAACTATTCTTCTTCATTCAGATTTCAATTTCTCTTCACTGTTCCTTCTTCAATTTTCAGATTTGATAGCTCTCAAAATCGTTGAATTGCGGCGATCGAAGGTATGGAAATTGATTAGAACACTTCAAATTTCTTTAAACCCTAAAAAAATCAATCCGATTAAAACTAACTAAGCGATGCTATGGATCTTGAAATTTATGCAATTTTTTAATTTTTTTTCAAGATTCTTGGTTAAATCCATGGCTGATGCACAGTTGAAGCAAAGAGGCTATATCTGGGCAATTGCAGCTGGACTCAATGCAGCTCTTGCCGCCATTTCAGCCAAATTCTTCTCATCTCTCGTAAGTTTTGTTCTTTTAAATCACTTGTTTTTGTTGAGTTTGATCAAATTACTTAAAAAAGTTTTAATCTTTGACAGGTGATTAAGTATGGGTTAGTTGTAATCTGCAATGTGGTTATGTGGGCATGTTATGTTAACAGCTTAAGAGCTTTGTCCTCTCTTCAAGCTACTGTCACAAACTTTGCTGCTAATTTTCTATCTTCTGGTTTAGCTGGACTCTTTCTTTTTCAAGAATCGTTATCGTTTCGCGTAAGTTTCGATCTTTAAACATGTTTTATGTTATGTGTCTTGAAAGTGATGATCAAAGTCTGTAGACATTGAAGATTGTTATGGTGAAGTGATATATGGGTTTGTGAGTTTAATGAGTTTTGGCTAATACATTTTAATAAATTTTGGCAGTGGTTTGCGGGAGCTTTGTCGATCACTATCGGAGTTCTAATCCTCAGTAAGTCGAGTGTCGATAAGAAGGTTAGCTCGGATTAATCAAGAATTGATACGATAGCTTCTGTTTTGGAGAAAGTGTTTTTGGTTGAAAGGAATTAGAGATGTTAAGTTGTTCTGAGTTTTGAGTTTTAGAGGCTATTTGATTATGGGAAACATTATATTTAGTTATTTACCAATATTTCAATTTGGTTAATTCTCTCGCAGCGAGAGTCTCTAATTATCTTCACACTTTAGTTTGACAAACTAAGATATGTTTTAGCAGTGTGTACAAACCGATTAAGCGAACTGTGTATCTTTAAGAAGAACTGTTTCTCTAGTTTGTCATAAGGAAACATAGATGACCGGGATTTTGCAAGTCGAGAGAAAGTAAAAACGAAGCAAAAAAAGCAGATGAATTGTAGCACTAGCTAAAACCGGTAAGGGGCATTAAAAAAAAAAAAAAAAAAAAACTAGTGCATCTTTGGGAGCTTGGAGCTTGAAAACTAGAGGCGGTTCTGGTGATAAGATCGTAAATGCCTAAGCCAAAGCCTATAAAACTGATGGAGTTAGGGTTGAAGCCAGGGAAAAACCTCACCGAGAGCAAAAAGCCGAAGAGCAGGCTTTATAAATAAAGTAGCACTAGCTAGAAGATGGAGGAAACCGGTAAGGGGCCACAATAAGATCCACTGCACCTTTAGTAGCTTGAAAACAAAGGCGGTTCTGGTGATAAATCATAAATCATAAATCGTAGGGTTTAGGGTTTCGCTTAACCCTATAAATCGTAGTTTTAGTAGCTTAAGTCTAAGCGAACACACATGTGACTTTTTTACATTTAATAGGTGTTTGATTTTTCAGATAAAATGAGAATCAAGTTCGATGTACCATGTTCAAGCGAGCACATATGTGACTTTGTACTACTTCGAATGTTTCTTGGCTTTTAATGAGTAATTTTGATTCGTTTTGTTAAGTAGAACTAATTCCACAGGTCAGAAAGTGTTGACTTACCTACAGAAAGAGACAGAGGAACTAACATACACACACACACACACACACACACAAAGTTTTACTAAACTCAAAACGATCAGGTCACAAACTACGTGCAAACCATTTCATCGGTCTCCATCAAACATCCTAAAATTGAAATATCAAATCTTTTTTTTTTCCTTGAATTCTCATTTTATTTTAATATTCATGATAGTAACCACATGTCAAAATCTTAGGACAAAGATAGAACCGACATGTAAGTCACTACTTTTGCCATGAACGTGCTTACCATTTTCTTTTATATTCCTACTACTTATATCTCTATCCTCTGCATATTTTTTTACCCGTAAAATTATAAACCCATCTTTCAAAATCTATTCTTTTTTTTTCCGTTGACATATCTAGTTATGCCTCCTCCGGCAATGCTTGCGTTTGACGATGGTTTAGCCCGGAAATCTAACGATAATGAGTGGCAAGGTTTCAGAGTTTTTCCAGGAGAAAATAAAAACCCTAACCCTGATTTCAATTTCTTGGTTAAGAAGGCAATTCTACATAGCGAGAAATCAACCAGTCCTCTTTTCTCCCGTTCGTCGGCAAGAGACGATAGCTTCAGGATTGTGTTGCCGCCTGCGATGCCTCCTCCTAGAGACTCCGCTGTTCCGCTTCCTATGCTCCCGGAGCCGATGAGAGTCCGGAAGAAGCTTAGCCACCAAGAATCAGTCATATTTATGACGAAATCGCGTTACTCAGAGAAGATTCTCTATAAGGAAGAAGATTTCAAATGTAATGCCTTCTGCTTGTCTCTACCTAGCTTCGGAAAAAACAAGCCAGTTAGATCTTCTTCGAAACGCCAAGATTCGATGGGGAAGAAGATGATTAGAGCTTCTTCCTTCACGGGATCAACTGTTTCTGTACGCGCCTCGCTAGAGAAATTCGAATGCGGTTCTTGGGCATCGACGACAGCTCTGATTCAAGATAACGGTCGGTTGTTTTTCGATTTTCCGATGGAGATGACGAAATGCAACAGCCGCGGTGGAAACGGAGGAAGAGATGTGCAAGAACCGGTGACATCAGGATTCTTGTTCGATAGAGAAACAGAGACTTTGGCTCTTAGAAGTGTTTTAAAGACGAGGAGTACTCGAGATCACCGGCGATCAGCTGAGACTTCACCGCAACGTCGTGTAAGATTCTCGACTTCGTCTTCATCGGCTTCAGTTTCATGCCCTACTTCGCCGCGAACTTGTATCACTCCACGTTTGCGTAAGGCTAGAGATGACTTCAATACCTTCTTGACCGCACAAAACGCTTGAACAAGGAAAACAAAAACAGAACACCGAGAGTTTTTGTTTTAAATATGTATTTATGAATGTAATGTATCTACGGATGATGTGTAAATATTATGGAGAGAAAGAGTGTTGAGTCTTTGAGAAATCAAAATCGATATAGGGTTTATGATTCTGAAATAACTCAAAAGTAGAATTCTTAGTGTTTGCTTAGAAGCTCTGTTTCTAACTTTAATCTCCAGTTTTTGAGGGTTTGTTTGGCTTTGTTGAATCTTTGCGAAATAAAAGTTGAAGAAGAGTAATTGTAATTGCAAAATTCAATTTTTCATGTTTGTTTCCAAGCTCTCTGTTTGTGACTCTCCAGGTTTTAAGGTTTATTTAAGTAATTTTCTGTTAGTTTATTTGGTTGGGTTAGGTGATCAAAAGCTTCTTAAAACTGGACAAAATGTTGGTAACATAACCTAACACTGTATAAAGAGAGCATAATACGATATTCAGATCCAAAACGCCAAATAACGCAAACGCGATAAGAACAAAAAGAGGGTGTAATGGCCTAATGGGTTAGAGAATTCGTCAGCGTTTTTAAAAGGGTTTATTTCAGTTACTTGTATCGAAGAAGACACGAACAACGTCCACAATCTGAGCTCGGCAAATCGGACATTTCCCTCCACTCCAGTGTAATTCGTTGGCACATTTTAGGCACATGCACATATGTCCGCACCTGTACAAAACCGCCTCGACTTGTGTTTCGTCGCAGACGCAGCATTTTCGTTTCATTGGGTTTTCTCGGTGAACTTTCTGTTGTAAGCTCGCGTTAGCATCTAAACACGTTTTGACAGAATCTCGTAGTACCGACATTTCTTGCTGAAGCTGTTGGATCTGTGATCTCATACCGCTTATCAGCTCCATTTCCTGAAAAACGTTTTTAAAAGGTTCAATGATTCTACCATTAGTGCGGTTACGAGTTTCTATTGTATAACAAGAAAGCAATAAAGACTCACAGGTGAATGAGGATTGTGAACAGATAAGACAGGAGTGGAAGTAACATCAGTGTCTTGAGAACTCCATGATCCTGCAGGAGACGATGCAAATATCTGTGAAGAAGAAGATTGGCTCAAATCATCTCTATCGTCTTGCTCTTCGCCTTTCGCTAATGGCTCTTCTTCTTTGACTTCTTCTTCAATTTCATTTTTCTCTTCCTCATCCTCTTGTTGCAATTCCCATTTTTCAGAGCGCTTATTCGACTGTGTCTGCACGCGAGACATCATGAGATTATCGATCTTCTCTCGCAACCCGCTCTCCAGAAAATCTGTCACAGTTCTCCTGTATTTCGCAGAAAACACATTTTCTTAGTCAATGGTTAAGCATAAAGAAACATGGCTTATTGATTTCAATGTTACTTACCGCTCAAGGAGTCTGCGTATGTCCTCTTTCTCAGACCGAGTGTTCATTACTTCCAGGTACCGTGACTTCCTCAATTCCTCCCAGTAACTCCGAGGCCTAGATATTTCACTAAGCCAGTCGTCGTTTGGTTCTCCATAATAAGACTGCTCATCTTCATACTCTTCTTGTTCTTCCCATCTATTCAAACAGGATGTTTCTTGTTGATCAAGGCACTGGTCCATCTCATTACTATCATGAACCAGAGATTCTGTTTCTCGAGTTTCTTGCATATACTTTTCCAATTTGTTCTCATCTTGATTCTGTCTCAACCGCGATTCTTGAGTGAAACATCCGCTCGGGCTTGTATTTTCTTCTTCTTTCTTAGCAGACTCACCATCATTGCAAGTATCTTCTACTTCTCTTGTTTCTTGCAGCTGAAGGCACTTCGTTTTTGATTCAACTGTTCCACTTACAGTTTCTTCTTCCTTACATAACGTTGCTTCCTCTATCTTGCGGTTACGGAGTCTCAAACGCTCTGCGAAAAAAGCTTCGAGAGTAAGACCGCCGTTCTTCAACCTCATGCTTGTGGTAGTAGTTCCTTCTTTTTCTTCTACAAATTTGTTGTTCATCTCAGCGGATCGTTGATGACTCTTCCTCTTATCTGCTGCAGCCGCAGCGTTCACATGAAATATCTCCCTGCGTTGCCATTCAAAGATTGAGAATCAGAAAAAAGTAAACTCTAAGAACTAAACTCAAAACATAGAACAGAGATTCTGAACAAAACCTTAAATGCAGAACAGTAGAGCCTGATTCAATCCGGTTTAATCCGGTTGTTTTTGCGTTAGACCGGTTTCTATCTTGAATCGCAAGACAGCTATTGAGGTTCCTTAGCTTTAGCATTGACTGGAGACGACCACGTTGAGTAAACCTAGAAACTGCGTTGCGCTCAAGAAGCGAATCCAATTCGCGGTGGCGATCGCGTTCCATTTGCATAAGCAAATCGGTAAACGCTTGCCGTCCTCGAATCCTCGGAGAGAAACTAACCACCGGAAGATTACTTTTCTCCGACGTCGACGAAGTGCAACAAGGCCTCGGCGTTCTGACAATCGAGAGTCCACCGCCACCGCCGCTGCCATTATCTCCGGCGGTTAGCTTCTTGTCTTCGTTGCTAAGTCTTCGAATTAGGTCAGCGACTCGTCCCCATTTGCTCTCTCCGGAATCAGAAACCAAACCATGTGACCTAGATTCAATCTCCACCGTTCGATCAGCAAATTCAGAATCTCCATCGATTGATGAAGATTCTGAAAGACAGGAATCTTGAACACTGAGTCCTGACTCGCTCCGACTACTACTCACCGTCGATTGGCAGCTGCTCGGCGAGTTTCCACCGTTGGATTGGTTTAGCCTCGCCTCCCATATCTGAACCAGAGAAGAAGCACCGGGACTATCAGTTCTCTTCGATTCTACTGGAGATTCAAGAACACGATTGTTCTTGTTATTGTGAGTCTCGATCCAAGAATCGACTAAATTCTCATCGGAGACATGAAATTTGAAAACCTCTTTCACCGGAGATTCCAGATTCTTCTGGAAAACGCCAGCGTTTTGGTTACGATCTCTTAATATCAAACCGAATCTCTGAGACGACGCCGACGCCATTTTTTACGATCTAAGAAGCGAACACAAAATCAAATTCTCATTAGAGTTTGGAATCGATCGAAAGAAGTTAGAGGACAACTCTGTTTTTTCTGTCTCTACAAGAAGAAGAAAAAAGGAAGAGAAAATCGTTTTGGCTTAATGAAAACACAGATTTTTCTCTCTCTTTTGTTCCTGTTGAAGAAACAGAACAACAACAATCGGTGGAGATAGATACGATGAAGAAGAAGGAGAAACAGAACCAATGAAACAGTATTTGTGGTTATCTGTTTAGTAATAAGACTTTTAAATGTGAGAGTCCTAAAATGGCTCTGTTTTGTCCCTTAAACTTGGGAACGTGTCTGTAAAATAAGGGAATAAAGAATGAGGTGTAAGAATACAGAGGATGAGATGTTGAGGAAAGTGATAAATTGTTATAGAAACCAAAAAAGCTACAATTTTGGAGAAAATTAAAAGGTATTGTATAACAAATGTCATTATACTGGTAAAAGCATTAATTAGTAATGCCAGAAAATAAAGCATTGGATTACTATACTAATTATAGGGTAATTGAATTATAAAGGATTAAGGCTCCTAAATGCTAGAGTCAAAATGGAGCCGTTGAGGAATTTAGCCGTTGTCGAGTGGGGAACCATGTTATATGCCACTTTTATATGCCACATCATTATATCATGTAATCAAATTATTTGCTACATCACTAATCATGTTAACAAAATAATTAAATTAAATAAATTAAATAGTCAGAAAAAATTAAATTAAATATTATAAATTTAAATTATATTCGAAATGAAAGTTTTGACAAAACAAAGATTGAAACAACACTTGCAAAATATATATATACATATATATATATATATATATATATAGATATATCATTTATGTTCAAACCATTGCGTTAGTATTATTTCTCTTTCTTCTCAAGTTTTTCAACTTTCCATTTATTAAGGTGGTTTGGGTATGTTGATAGACATGTAAGCACCATATATAATAGAATTGGACAACGAATTGGTTGTCTTGGCAATTTGTAAGTTGAGAGCCTTTGGTGTATGCAGTCTCTATAGTTAACATTAGTGTTTGTATATCATTGAATTTTATCGATCAAGTGAACGTAGATCGAACACGCGACCTACAGATTCATGTGTTAAGATATTATTAAGGTTGAGTCAAATCGTAAGACTAAATTATGATGAACTGTTATCTAGTTCATTCAATTCAACATAGATATAAATGGAGTGATTAATATAAATATGACGGAAAGTGGTAATCGAGAAAAATTAATCTAAAATACAGTCTTATATTAACTATCACATTCATCTTTATCTTTTTTTGACAAGCATTACAAATATTATAAATAGGAGAAAAATTAAGTCTGAAGTTTTTCTATTAATTAGAAAAAGCCATCTATTAGCACAAGTGAGATTATCGAACAATGATTGAGAACTGAAACCTATAATTTTTTAATATACAAATTATTTTAAGATAAAATTTAAAATACACACAGATTTACCTTCAATTTTTTGAAAATGATTTTATCTCATAAAATATATTTTTAATAATCCTTTTGAATATGACCTACAAATCATTGAAAACGGTCTAGTAGAGAAAGACACAAATAATATTTGGTCAGGTATTCGAGGCAACATTAAAGGGAGATTTCAGTTCAACCAAAAACGTTCAACATGAATTGTACAAGAAATGTTTTTTTAAAGATTTTCAAAGGAAGATGAAGATTAAAAACTGATGTACGATACGTAAAACAAGTTCCAGCGCAACAACTCACAATCGATGAATTGGCTATATATGTTGATCAACCATTAGATATTAACAATTTAACATATTGGTCATAATGAAAATAATTTGAAGACATTATGGATGATTTGTAAGAGAATGAAGATTCTATGAATTTCACTCGTCAATTCACCAACTAGCTAGTTCTATTGATGCGTTGGAAAATATCCATTTGGAAATTTAATATTTTGTTTTTGTAACTTTACTTAGGTTAACGATAATATTGTACTCTTGTGTATAAAATATATGAAATCTACTAATCTAGCTAGTACCCAAAACCCTAGAATACATGCAACTTTAATTTTTTTTACTAGGTATTTAGTGGATTTAGTTAGAAACCAAAAACTTTAGAATTCATAGCTAAAATTCATGAGAAAACTAACACCAGCATCTTATTTTACTAATGTAGTTTTGGTAGGGCTCAATAAACGTGGCCTATAATATTGCTACTTTTGTTAGAGGATCCGAGCAAATCCATGTATGATTGTACAAGAAAATTGTTAATTTCGATTTTAAATGCTTTGATGTAAATATACGTTTGTGAATTGTAGACAAAAACAAAATAAAATAATAATAGCTAGTATCATATAACCGACCAAAGACAAACTAAAATAAACCAATCGAAGTTGACAAAAAATATTACAATTAATCTAATCCAAATAAGTCAAAACCTTGATTTCAAATAATGCAAAGATCATTATTTATCATAAACATTACATATACGACATGGAGGCAAGTCACATGAATATTCAAATCTTAAAGTTGTGCCTCCCACGTAAAAGCATCCCATTAATTTCCAAATGCAATATATAAGTTACTCGCACAACACACCTCTCATCAAACAAAATCATCAAAGCCAATCAAATAGAGATAGATATCAAGAAAGCAAAATAATGAAGTTGGCCGTGGTCTCAGTCGTCGTCCTACTCGTTGTTCTCGTGGCCTGGCCTGTATCCGCTAGCCGGAAAGACTTACCAGGATCGGGAGGATACGGAGGCGATGACGATGATGATACAAAGTCATGGTTTCCTTTGGACAATCTATTATCGTTGAATTACTATGATAGGATTTGTCCTGATTTTGAGAAAATCGTTGATAGGAAAGTGAGGGAATGGACTAAGAGTGACTCTTCCCTTGGTCCCGCCCTCCTCCGCCTTATCTTCCACGATTGTGGTGTCACGGTATTGCAATTATATCTTCTTCCTTAAATATTTATTTAACATCAATCGTTCAATAATTGCTTAGTATAGCCAATGTTTTGATTCATATATGGTTTACATTGTTCTAAATGGGTCTCACTATTAGAGGTTGGAATTGTTCTTTCGTCTATCTAGACCATATTTAGAACATTAATAGTCAATAGATATAAGTTTCTTAATATTTTGAAGACGGACTTACGAGATTTATTCTATGCATAAACGCATCTTAGTGTTTTTGCCCATATCTAATATAGATAAGCATTTCAAAAGATAAGAAATTGACTATTTTGTAAATGAATTAACAACTTTCAGGGATGTGATGCGTCTGTTCTTCTAGACTACGAAGGGACAGAGAGAAGATCTCCGGCGAGCAAAAGCCTAAGAGGCTTCGAGCTAATCGACGATATCAAGTCTGAGATGGAGAAATCTTGCCCCGGATTAGTCTCATGCGCTGACATCCTAACATCAGCTAGTCGTGCCGCCACCGTCCAACTCGGTGGTCCTTACTGGCCCAACGTCTACGGTCGTCGTGACTCTAAAAACTCTTACGCTAGAGACGTCGAGAAAGTCCCTTCAGGCCGCCGTGATGTTACCGCCCTTCTCGAAACGTTTCAATCGTACGGTCTCAACATCCTCGACCTAGTTGTCCTCTCCGGTGCCCACACCATCGGAAAAGCCTACTGTGGTACCATCCAGTCGAGGCTTTACAACTACAACGCAACCAATGGTTCAGATCCTTCGATTGACCCAAAATACGCAGATTACTTGCGACGCAGGTGTCGCTGGGCCTCTGAGACCGTTGAGCTCGACGCCGTAACTCCAGCAGTGTTCGATAATCAGTACTACATTAATCTTCAGAAGCATATGGGAGTTTTGTCGACTGATCAGGAGCTTGTTAAGGACCCAAGGACCGCTCCACTTGTAAAGGCTTTCGCGGAACAACCACCTCAGATGTTCAGACAACAGTTTGCTGTGTCAATGGCTAAGCTGGTCAATGTTGGTGTCCTCACTGGTGAAGATCGTATCGGAGAGATCAGGAAGGTTTGCAGCAAATCTAACTCCAGACGTTACTAATAACAATTATATCTCTCATATGAGTTTTCTAAAAGAACCTTCTGTTTCTTGGTGTAATTTCTTGTTTGGTTTTAATTTTTGAGCCCTTTTCAATCGCAATTTGTATTATGAACAAAAATGTGAATCTTGTTTTATACTGAGAATTCTTTTCGCTACAACTGATCTGTCACTCGTGAGCTTATTTTCAACTTCTGATTCACGATTATCCCAGATTACAGAGTTGTATGCTTAGCACTATATGATTATTATCGGTCCAACATGATATATGTCAAAGGTTCATGATTTTAATAGAATCCTAAATGTTAACTATCAATCAAGTAAATAGCTGAGATGATAACTTTTGGTGCAAGAAAATGAAAGACAAGAGGCATAATCCAACGTCTTAGGTTCCAATCACGTTTTTAAGACTTTCTATAGTATTGAAGCTCATGGAAAAAACATACTGCAAAAGAAGATATACTCTAAGACATTCAAGAACCTGAGAATTTAAAGAGAACACAATCATGCAAGTTGAAACAAACCAGTAGAAAGCCAAGACCGGTTTAGTTTCGTTTGCCTCGAAGGACACCCTTACTGCGACGATTCTTCATCCCCAGCTTAAATTTTTTCTTCAGCTTCTTCCCGATAGGTTTAAGAGACTTGGTTTTCTTCTCATCATCCATTTCCACATCTGCAAACAACAAACAGTATCCCAAAACAAAACAGAGCCTTAATACCAACACTTTCAAAGATATTACACATAAAAGGATCAAGCAAACAGTAATTTAGCTTGAACAGAAACTAGTATACTTGTAGATGCAATTGTGCACAAAATTCAATATCAAGAAACCAACTAAGCTTTTAGATAAAATGATTAATGTTTCTCTTAGCACATTGCTATGCACTCACACCACTACTCTGCAGAAAGTGAAAGAGCAAAAACCTTCCCAAGAGTAAATGAACTAAAACCCATCAAAGATTTCAACAAAAATGAGTGATTCTAATGAATTTCAGATTCTAAAACTTAGCATAAAAGTCAATTCTTCAAGCGTTACCTTATCTAAAATCAAATCTTACAAAATCAAAGAGGCAACTTTAGCAAATTCAACAAAGCGAACATACCCATATCGTTGGCGATTGTAGTGGAGGCAGATGCAGACTCAGAGGACGGCGTCGCAACTTCCATAAATGGAGAAACTGGAGGTAGACGAACTGGTAACTTCGGAGCAGCGAGTGCGGCTTCAATAGCGGCGGATTTGGCGTCTTCTCTCGTTAGAGTGAATGATTCCTTCTCCACAATTTCTCTTCTTATTGCTCTCAATCTCTTCACTCTCTTGCATCTCATTGATTTCGCCATTGTTGCGCAAGTAATCAAAGCTTGAGGAGAGAGTTTCGAAATTAGGGTTTTGAGGCAAAAGGGGTTTTTGATTTCTGCGTCGGAATTTGTTTTATATCGTCTAAACCTAATTGAGGAACTGAGAAATTGCTCCGGTTTTGTTTGGTTACAAGTTTAACTTTATCCTATCAACGTTTAGAGCCTATTCGCAAAATTATTGGCCTAATTTTAGGCCCAAATTAATAGAAAATATCGAAAGAACGGCTTTGAATTTGAAAACCCGAAAATACCCTTCTTCTTCGTCTCCGTGCAGATCACAACACTGTTTGATTTCTGAGGAGAATCCATTGTTTCCATTAGAAGAAAGAACTAACTTTCTCGTCGAAGCTTTGAGCTCTATCTGTTCGTCTCCAGGTTAGTTTTTTTAATGTGTGGATCGGTAGTGGAATTGTTCTTCGTCTTGTGATTTCGTATGTGTTGTTGTTTCTCGATTTGCGAATCAGATCTTTGTTCCGTTGTTGAGATTTGATAAATTTCGATGGATTTAGCTTTGGATTGCTTATGTTATGTAACTTGAAAGCTTCTGTTGAATCATAGATCTAGAGTTGGCTTTGCATTTTCATGATTGAAATTCGAAAAGCAATGGAAGTGATTACGAATTGAGATTGTGACTTAAGAGCATCGATATTAGGATCTGGTGATGAATAATTTCATATCCTTTTACAAAATCGAAATTGAAATTTTGAAGAAGACTCTGTGGAAACTAAGAAGTAAATGTTGATATAACTGTTTGGTTTCAAGAGTTAAGAGTTTTGAAGTTGGAGATGTTATTGATTGTGGTGGTTTTGTGGTTGGTGCGAGATAAAGATGTGTTGATTGTGATGGTTTTGGTTTGATGGCAGAGATGTATAATAATATGGGACCTCAACCGGGGATGCCAAGACCTCCAGGAAACCCTGAGCCTGGTCCATTTGGTAATCCATTCACTGGAGCTGGCTCGGGATTTATCCGTGGTGGTTTGGGAGCGTACGGGGAGAGAATTTTAGGATCAAGCTCTGAGTATGTGCAGAGCAATGTAAGTGAATTCTCCATATCACACGTAATATCTGATTTTTATCATTTTGAAGTTTTTTGTGACTTAATGTTGAAAATGAAACAGATAAGCCGGTACTTCTCTGATCCGCAATATTATTTCCAAGTGAATGATCAATATGTGAGGAACAAATTGAAGGTTGTTCTGTTTCCTTTCCTACACCGGGTAAGCGAGTATTCTCTTTTCTTCTTCTGTTTGAGACCTTCTCATGCCAGCCGTTAATTAAACTAATGTGGATTCTGTTTTAAATCCTCAGGGACATTGGACCAGAATATCTGAACCAGTTGGTGGTAGGCTCTCATACAAGCCTCCAATCTATGATATCAATGCTCCAGACTTGTACATTCCGTTTATGGCATTTGGTACCTACGTTGTTCTTGCTGGCCTTTCATTGGGACTTAATGGAAAGTAAGTTTTGATGAGTCCTCTCCCTATGCTTCTCTCTTAGAACTTGAGTCTTATGGCTTCAATGATTGATGTGACACTGAAGATTATTAAATCTGTTTATACCCGAATTCTCTAGGTTTACGCCAGAAGCTTTGAATTGGCTGTTTGTGAAAGGATTGGTTGGTTGGTTTTTGCAAGTGATGCTCCTGAAAGTAACACTTCTATCACTTGGTAGTGGAGAGGCGCCATTACTAGATATTGTGGCATACGGAGGCTATGCTTTTGCTGGTCTATGCCTTGCGGGTATTGCCAAGATAATGTGGGGATACTCGTACTACGCGTTGATGCCATGGACTTGTCTATGCACAGGGATTTTCTTGGTGAAGACGATGAAACGTGTTCTGTTTGCTGAAGTAAGAAGTTATGATTCGAGCAAACATCACTACCTTCTGCTGTTTTTAGCCTTGGTCCAGTTCCCTCTTTTGATATGGCTTGGTAACATTAGTGTTAATTGGCTTCTTTGAAATGGACTGTGCAAAAAATACGTTTTTGTGAATTCTTATTGGTACTTGTAGCGTAATTTGAACATTCTTGGCATTTAGCATTGTATGCTTGTCTAATTCTATTTGCATGACGTGAAGAAAGAGTTATTTTGAACATCATTGTATTAGTCTCTTTCTTTGTTACCATTTTATCTCCATTATTATGGTTGTAAAATCTCCAATCTATAAAATAAAATATACCAATTTCTATCTTCCTGTATATGAAAAAAGTTGGCATGAGACTCCAACCAATGAGATAATTTAAATTATGGATTGGCATTTAATCATTTACTTAACACATCAAATAATCACAATCATTATTCAGTGAATATAATAATTTTCTCGCCTCCCACAAGTAGAACATCAACATATAATATTTTGTACTAACTATAATTCAGTCTAATCATTTTATAATTAGAGACTCAGTCTCTCTGCTAAATAAAAAATGCATGTTTGTAACCATTTCCCTGAACTTATATTAAAATAAACACATCATGATCTATTAAAAAAACACATCATATTCTTGGTCTGCCTTAAATATATTGGTAATAAATAGTGGTAAAGTTAACAATTAGGTCGGATATCTCATTAAATAATCAATGTTGATTAAGCAACTATTCATGTCTCCTAGTAATTGTCACATCGTCGTTTGGATGATTCTACCTTAACCCAAATGGCACTTCAATAGACTTTGCATTTTTCTAAAGTCAATGAAGTAAGCATTGGTCTTGATCTTTGTTATCATTATCAATTTAAAACTATTTAAACTTTACTTATTGTGGTAGAGTAGTATATGATTTTGTAACTACATTCACATAAAGTGTCCGGATAAAAATTGAAACTTGTGGACTTAAACTTAAGCCACCCATACCTTTTTAACGTTTTGCCACTTGATTAAGCTTGAAGATTAGAGCTTTGAATAAATGATAGGTTCTCACGATTGCCTTACATTCTAAGAAAACGTTAAATAATTTTTTTCCCTTCTAAACAATTTAGAAAAAAAAAATTTTAAATGACAAAGAGAGAAGTTTGTTGAATCAGTAGTTGCAGAGACATGGTTAGTTCCGCTGACTCTGTCATCAAGTCATCTTCTCTCCCGTTTACTTTACGCTCACATCTCTTTTTCTCCAGAAAATTCCTCGCCAAGAAAAAAAAAATCGAAAACAGAGACATTCATTTTTCTCTCAAACTCATTTCTTTTCTCATCTTAAGCAAAGTTTTCATCGAAAATGAAGAAGTTTGAATCATCTAACTCTGTTTAAGATCTCATTTTCTTTGGAAAATTTACAGAAAAAACTCGAAAAAAATCATTACTTTTTAACTTGCTTTCACTTTCTCTCGCAAAAAACGAAAAACCCACAAAAGAAATTCGAAGCACAAGTTTTCAAACTCTGTTTTTTTGTTTCTGATCAGAAACAATGTCTTTGATTCATAAAGGAGCCACCTTGGCTCTGTTTCTATTGTTGACTATGGTGGTCAACGGAGTTTTCGGGAGATTCATTGTAGAGAAGAGTAGCGTCACGATTCTAAACCCTTTGGCAATGCGGTCTAAACACGATGCAGCCATTGCTAACTTTGGTGTTCCTAACTACGGTGGTTACATGATCGGTTCCGTTGTTTACGCTGGTCAAGGAGCTTATGGATGTGACTCTTTTGATAAAACTTTCAAACCCAAATTCCCTCGTCCTACCATTTTAATCATCGATCGTGGAGGTAACTGTTTCATTCAAATTGCTTCTGCAAATTAGATTATGTTTCAAGTTGCAAGTTTTTGGTCAGAAATAGAAAGTTTGTCATTTACATGAAATTTTTGTTGTATAATTAATCCAAAAGCTTTCTGTTTTAAGTCTTTAGTTTTACATTTTTCAATCTCCTTTTTGATCCAAATTCCTCTGCATGTTAGACAATCATCCAAAATTTTGGTTAAGAGATAGAAAGTTTTGTCATTTACATAGGAGACTTGTCTCAATCTCAATCTCAATCTCTTTTTAAGTCTTATTTTACATCTTTCAATCTTCTTTTGATCCAAATATTACTGCAAATTTGGTAATGTTCCACCTTTCTGGTATACCAAACTTGTCTCAGTCTCAATTTAGTTTGTAGAAGAACTTAAAAGCTTTCTCTTTTTAAGTAAATTGAGATTGAGACAAGTCTTTCAATTTGATATATGTTCCATATATTCAGTGTAGATGTAGAAAGTTCTGTTATTTACATATGTGACATAAAGCTATTTATGATTGAAGAATTAGAAATGGTACATATTTGGTTCTGATTCGTTGTTTTGTTTTGTTTTGCATTAGAGTGCTACTTTGCATTAAAGGTATGGAACGGTCAACAATCCGGTGCAGCAGCAGTTTTAGTAGCTGATAACGTCGATGAGCCATTGATAACAATGGATTCACCTGAGGAATCCAAAGAAGCTGATGACTTTATAGAGAAACTCAACATTCCATCGGCTTTGATCGACTTTTCTTTCGCCAATACACTCAAGCAAGCTCTTAAAAAAGGCGAGGAAGTAGTCCTGAAGATAGACTGGAGTGAGTCATTACCTCATCCGGATGAGAGAGTTGAGTATGAGTTATGGACTAACACGAATGATGAGTGTGGTGCGCGGTGCGATGAGCAGATGAATTTTGTCAAGAACTTCAAAGGGCATGCGCAGATTCTTGAAAAAGGAGGATACTCTTTGTTCACACCTCATTACATTACATGGTTTTGTCCTAAAGATTATGTTTCTAGCAATCAATGTAAGTCTCAGTGTATAAACCAAGGGAGGTATTGTGCACCTGACCCTGAACAAGACTTTGGAGATGGATACGATGGCAAAGACATTGTTTTCGAGAATTTGAGACAGTTATGTGTTCATAGAGTAGCGAAAGAGAATAACCGGTCTTGGGTTTGGTGGGACTATGTGACTGATTTTCACATCAGATGTTCAATGAAGGAGAAGAAGTATAGCAAAGAATGTGCAGAGAGAGTTGTTGAATCTCTCGGTAAGGGACACTACAATTGTTTTTAGCACCTTTTCTTCAAATTCAGCATCTTGATGTTTCTCTTATTCTCAGGTTTGCCACTTGACAAGATCAAGAAATGTATAGGTGATCCTGATGCTGATGTGGAGAATGAAGTTTTGAAAGCTGAGCAAGCGCTTCAGGTCTTGGTTTTCTTCTTGAATGCGTATATATTTTACCGTTTTTGAAACCGATTCATTGAGATTTTTCTTCTTTCTTACCTATAGGTAGGACAAGGTGACCGCGGGGATGTCACAATCTTGCCAACATTGATAGTCAACAATGCTCAATACCGCGGTTTGTTTCATTCCTTCTCATTGTAGCATATTTGTTTAGAAATTAGAACTCAGTCTGTTACCCAAAAGTTAAGATTCCTAAGTTCTTAATCTGATTTTATTGTTCAGGTAAACTCGAGAGAAATGCGGTACTAAAGGCTATATGTTCAGGATTTAAGGAAAGAACTGAACCCGGGATCTGTCTAAGTGGAGGTTAAACCAATTCCCTAGTATAAGCTGATATTCATGTGGTAATAGAATGTACTAAAAAACTTTTCGTTACACTTTTGAAACAGATATCGAAACAAACGAATGTCTCGAAGCAAATGGAGGATGTTGGCAGGACAAGAAGTCTAATGTAACAGCTTGCAAGGTACTTGATTATAACCGATGAATGAACTTCAGGGACTACTTTTTCATAGACATTTGGTTAGTTTTACACCTGAAAATGGATTCTATCAGGATACATTTAGGGGAAGAGTCTGTGAATGCCCTGTTGTGAATGGTGTGCAGTATAAAGGAGATGGCTATACCTCATGTGAACGTATGTTCTTGAACTTCTGCATCAATATCTTGTAGAAACACTTCATTAGATACATTTTGTGTTCTGGTTTGAAAAAGAAGTCATCTTTGCTTGAATGTTATAACAGCTTATGGCCCTGCGAGATGCTCGATTAATCAAGGAGGTTGCTGGTCTGAAACCAAAAAGGGCTTAACTTTCTCCGCTTGCTCGGTTAAGTGACTCTACTATGTTTTGGCTTTTTCAGTAACAATGCCATAAAGTTGCTCATTTTTGACAAATTTTCTCCAATTGTTGAGTCCAGAACTTGGAGACATCGGGATGTCGTTGCCCTACAGGGTTTAAAGGAGATGGTCTTAAATGTGAAGGTGAAAACTTTTTTCCCACTAGATTTCAAAATCTCCTATCATGTTTTCTTAAACTGATTCATCTTGTTTATATCTACCATAGACATTGATGAATGTAAGGAGCAATCAGCTTGTCAATGTGATGGATGCAACTGTAAGAACAAATGGGGAGGCTTTGAATGCAAATGCTCTGGAAATCGTCTCTACATGAAAGAACAAGACACTTGTATCGGTAAGTGTCAGAAAACATAACAATAAAGATCTCTATATACTTTGTCAGATTCTTTTGAAACAATCCATGACTCATATCCTCATTTCTTGTTTCTTTCGTTTCTCGCAGAGAGAAGCGGATCAAGAATCGGATGGTTCTTTACGTTTGTGATTCTAGCTGCAGTTGCAAGCATATGTGTAGGTGGTTACATATTCTACAAGTATCGTCTCAGGGTATGTTTTCCAAACATTTTGTTTCTTCCTATAATTAATCTTCAAAACTCTCATTATCATCATGAATCTATCTAATGATTATTATCTTTATTTTGTGTGTGTCAAAACCAAAATGCAGTCTTATATGGATTCAGAAATCATGGCGATTATGTCTCAGTACATGCCATTGGAGAGCCAAAACACAACCGATCCAATGACCGGTGAATCTCAACAGCAACAGCTGAGATTAACTTCTGCAGCCTAAATTTATAATTAACCCTCAAGGAAAGTCATTATAAAGAGCTAAAGATGGAATTTTTCTTTGTTTAATCTTGAAAAATACTTCTTTTGGGGTCATTTTTATTGACTCTTTTCATTCTTGTAGATAAGATATATGCATTAAGATTTTGAAAGGAAATTTGTATTGAAAGTGAGAACAACAAAGAACTCTTTGGTCATCTGTTAAATTACAGAGAAATGAATTGGTTGGGTAAATGTAACAGTAAGGATCTTTTTGTCATAAAACAAAGTTTGAGGCTTTAATCGAAGAATGTAATAAATATGGGTTATATATGAAATTCTAATAAATGTAAGATATGTTCGTCGGGAGGATTCAACGGTGGAGAAAAAGAGAGATGGAGAACGCTTTGTCGACGTCGTTGTCACCGTCGCCGGCAAGTGAAGTCGCTGCGAGAGTATCGTCTTTGTTCGTTTATCCGATCAAATCATGTAGAGGAATTTCTTTATCTCAGGCAGCTCTCACTCCCACCGGTATTAACAGAAACTAGTTCCCTCTTCCATTTCCGAGAAAAATTTCCCTTTTTTCGATTTTTACTTCTTGGGTTTCATATTAGAGCTATTCCTTCTTGTGGGTTTAAGTTCTTGGACGATATCAAGTGGAAAAAATTGATTTTTGGGCTGTCCTGCAATGATGCTCTAAAAGTGTATAAGACTTGGAATGTGAATGATATTGTGTGAAGTAATTCAAAACAGTTTGATGAAGTTTGTCATATTTTAGTGTGATTTTTCGGTGGGGAAAGTAGAAAAGCTAAGTTTTTTTTTGGGGTTTTGGTTGCTTAGGATTTCGATGGGATCGAAACTGGTTGATTGTGAACTCTAAAGGACGAGGATTGACTCAAAGAGTGGAACCCAAGCTTTCGTTGATTGAAGTAGAGATGCCTGAGCATGCGTTTGGAGAAGACTGGGAGCCTGAGAAGAGGTCTAACATGGGTCAGATTGTTTTTATGTCTTCTTTTTCAGCTGGCTTTTTGTTTTATGAAGATGGTCTTTTTATCATCTTTTGGGTGTGTTTGCAGTGGTTAGAGCTCCTGGTATGGATGCCCTTAAGGTCTCCTTAGCTAAACCCGACAAAATAGCAGACGGTGTCTCAGTTTGGGAGTGGTCTGGCTCCGCACTAGATGAAGGAGAAGAAGCATCTCAGTGGTTTACAAACTTTGTTGGGAAGCCTTGTCGACTTGTTCGTTTTGATTCAGGTTTTATAAACTTTTTCCTGTCTTAATCATACAGCTTGACTCCTGTGAAAGATTTTGGCGGTGCATGTTTAATCACGAGCCACGTGTTTGCTGTTAAATTGCAGCCTCTGAGACTAGGCCTGTGGATCCAAATTATGCTCCAGGTCACATTGCGATGTTCTCGGATATGTATTCATTCTTGCTTATATCACAGGTCAGAGGATCAAATTCGATTTCTTTCTTTCGGTTCTGCTCTAAATAGTCTCGTGCTATTTCCAGGGTTCTCTTGATTCCCTGAATAAGCTTCTCAAGGAGCCTGTACCGATCAACCGATTTAGACCCAAGTATGTTCAAAGGAGAGACCACAGTGTTTTTATTGCTTTGTAACAACACTTGATAACTGTCACTGGGAAATGTTACAGCATCTTTGTTGATGGATGTGAACCATTTGCTGAAGACTTATGGACAGAGATCCTTATAAACGGTTTCACCTTTCACGGTGTGAAACTATGCTCCCGTTGCAAGGTATATCAAAATCTTGTCAAAACTCCATGAATCTTTTTTTGTTTGGTTTGTTCTTTTAAGGATAAGGTTTTTAATTTGTCCATGATCAGGTACCGACGATTAATCAAGAAACTGGCATTGGAGGTCAAGAGCCGATTGAGACTCTGAGGAATTTCAGGTCAGACAAAGTTTTACAGCCAAGGAGGAAACCACAGGGAAAGGTAAAGAAAGATCGTGGTTCGGTTTATCGTCATAACAAATGAGTATGAGAGTTTTGAATGGTAGATCTGAAAATGATGCAGATATACTTTGGGCAGAACATGGTTTGGAAAGACAGACTCGGCGATGGAATAGGAAAAACAATTGAAATTGGTGATTCCGTTGTTGTCCTTGGAAAACTCTCCTCTCCTGCTGAAGCAGCAACCTGAAAGAACTTAGTTACTTGCAGATCCAAGAAACTTGCAGCTTGTTATAAATATATAATTGTGAATCTCTCTCTCTTATTCTTTCATGAGAACTGTGACCACTTTTATCAGACACCACATTTGACCCCCAAAAGAAGCAACCACATCAAATATATTGATTTTATTGAATCTAAAAAGGACATCGATTCAGCTATCCACAGGCCTCTCCCTAACTCTCATCTTCTTCATCATATTCATATTCATCTCCATATCCATCTTCATATCCATCTCCATCTCCATCTCCATAGCCATAGCCATCTTCATCTTCATAATCATAATCATCATCATCATCATCATCATCATCATCATCATCATCATCATCATCATCATCATCTTTTCCATCTTCTCCACTGTGATGCTCTATATGAGAGTGAACACTAAGATCCTCTACATGGTCTACAAAGGCGTAAACTCTGCAATCAGTCTCAAACGCTTCACCGTTAGCTCCAACACCTTGGATTTCAACACGTTGGAGAGTGTTCTTTTCCGGACTGAAGTAGAAAACATAAAATGGTTTTGATGTAAACTTCTCTGCCAAAACAATTTCACCTCTAGCCGTCATCCCAACGACAAAAACATTATAAACACCGACTTCATTGTCCGGCAAAGTGTAGACATATTTCGACCATTCCTCTTTCTCGACATCCTCTAGAACCGACATACTCAACACAATGGCATCAGCCTCATCATACGTCAAATCAATCCCACCTAATTTACCCTTGTAGTTGATCAATCTAGTGGCACGCTGATCCCTAAAGCATTCTGCGTCAATTAACTTGAATTTCTCGGACTTAATATCAAAGGAAACTATCAAATCAGACAATGCATCGGTTTTATTGTCAGCCAAGTAGTACAAAACCCCATTGATGCATGTCCCTTTACTAGAGAAACGATAGTATGGGGGACATTGGTTATTACCCCTCCACCTTAGTTTCCCGGTGCCTAATGTCAGAATTCCATGGTGATCATATTCATCAGAACCTGGCTCAGCCTCAGCCAATACCTTGAATTGCTTGTCAATCGGATCAAACCCAAAAAAGCTTGTCGACTTTCTGTAGATCATCATTTTAGGTTGAGGTAACCTAACATACTGTCCCGTGATAGGATCACATATCACACACACGGAATCCTTTGATAGATCCTCTGACATCCAATAATCAGGGACATAGATCAAACCAGAGGCATAGCTACACATTTCGTATTTTAACATATGCCCACAGAGTTTCATATGAAAATCGGCGGTTACTACAAGAGACTTCTCATATGGATTCTGAAGCTGAGGCGATGAGAAGAAGAGAAGCTCACCATTGGCTCGTTGGAGAACTAATAAGAGACGGGGACGAGCCGATGACCTCGTCAAGAACAACTCGGTGAAGTCTTGACGGCTAAGTATGGAACCCCATAGCTTTGACACGCAACGAAACCTCCCAACTGACTTTGCTGGCAATCTTGATAGTATCTCTGGAATAAGATCTATTGGGATATAACCTGAATTTTCACCTCCGTTCATTATCGTTTTGTTTGCTGAATCAAATCATCGCAAAGAATCTAACATTTATTTCTAGGTATTTAGCAAAAAATTTATTTCTAGGTAGGGCTTAGGTTACTTTTAGGGTTGCCGGGCCGGGTCTGTTTCCACCCACAAGTCACGTGGCAATGCGAAAATTCACGTGGCATTACAAGAATACAAGAATACCCTAAAGATAACACTAAAACAAAGGGGGGCTACAATATTGGTTTAGTACTCGCACGCGTATCGCTTAACTCTTTCTCCTCTGTTTTAATTCGTTTCAATACCCCATTTTACTTCTTTCAAAACAATCAACTCTCGAAGTGCATTTATTGTAAAACCGTTTTTTGGTGAATAAATTTTACATTCATACAAAAAAAAAAAAAAAAAAAAAAAAACACTAAAACAAAACTAAATCCTTAAACTTCTACGAAGAAAAGGTATATAATCACGTCCCTTTGATCTCTCCATAATAATAGGTTTAGGGTTTAGGTTATTTTAAGGGTTGCCCCGGCCGGGGCTGTTTTCACCCACAACAAGTCAGTGGATCGTGGCGGTGCGAGAATTGACGTGGGGCATTACAAGAATACATTACTACCCTAAGAAAACACTAAAAAAAACCTATATCCTTAGCCTGCTACGGAGAAAAGGTATAAATGTATAATCTCGTCCCTGTGATCTCTCCATGATTCTGTTGAATTCTGTCTCGTGTGTATCTTATTTCAAATATTAGATCAAAACGGTTCCCGAAGATTGTTTCTAATATTTTTTTGATAGCTCCATCTTTCTCTTCTTACATTAAGCTTCTCTCTCTCGTTTCAGATTCGATGATAATTAACCGTGTGTGTCAATCGTCCAATAATTTTAATTCGTGTTTATGTTGACTTGTTTGATTAGATTTCCGTAATAGATTACAAACCTAACTGCGATTTCTTTACACACATTTGAATTTATTCACTTTTGATTGAGTATTTTTTTTCTTTTCCTATTTATGTTCCAAGATGGTGAACAACATGGCAGCGGAACCTAAATACGAGAAGGCTAAAACGTCGGTTTGGTGGGACATTGAACACTGTCCAATCCCCAAGGGTTGTAAGCCTGAGGGGATCGCTAAAAAAATAAGCACGGCCCTGCACAAGTTGAACTATCATGGTGATATCTCTATATTTGCCTTTGGCAACATGAATCACATCCCTCCTTCTGTCAAGCAAGCTCTCTCTTCCACTGGAATCCAGCTTAAGCACGTCCACTACAGTTAATCATCTTATCTTTTTTCTCTTAAATGTATAGTAGAATTAAGACGTTGATGTTCAGATTCAAATGGCTATGTCTTCTCTTTTGTTTTTACCAAGATTAATTCAATGTGGTCTAACCATACAAGCTTTTGTTTCACGTTCTTTAGGTTTTGAAAGAGGAGAAGTTAACATGCATATTTACGGAAAAGTGCTTAATTGGACATATGATATTAGTCCACCTCCGGCTAATCTAATGTTCATCTCCCGAGACCAAACATTCTCTCATAATGAAGAGAGGGAGAGGGGATTTAACATTCTTATAGCACATCCTCCACATCCTTCAGACTCTTTGGTTGCTTCAGCAAACACCACATGGCTCTGGAAAAGCTTATTGGAAGAACAAGATGTAACCAGCCAAAGTTTGACCCCATGCTAATTCTCATCCGAAGATTGCTATATATATGGTGAAGAAGCAAGTTTTAATATATGAAGTTGAGATTTCTAAATTTACCCCATGTTATCTTTTTTCCAATGGATGTCCAAAGTTTTAATATGTGAGTTGGTATTAGAAGGTTTTAGTATCCAAAATTTATTTATTTTTGTTTTATTTAATTTATAACTTAATTAAAATAAAATCACAACAGGGTTGAGTTTCTTTTTCATGACCCTTTTGTTGAGTTTTGCTCATATTTTGAACTGATCATACCATATGGAGCAAACGGAAAAATATAAAGCAACGGAATGAAAATGAACATGTCTCGCAAACCGAAATCCACAAACGACCCCAAAAAGAAGCAAACATTTTAAATATAAAAAAGCTCAGCTAAGAACAAAGGAATAAAAACTGTTTTGTACTCATTACCGTGAGGGTGGATATTATGGATTTAGAATAGAAGAGAGATGGAACTAAAAAGGAAAACTTAGATTATAATCAAAAAAGTAAAAGAAAGAAAGGTACATTACCAAAACTAGATTTGTAATGGATATTCATTACATTACCAAAGTTAGACCTCCCAACTAAAGAACATAAAACGCATACATAGACCAAATACTCTTAACAACTCCAATGTTCGTCTCTATCTCTTTGCCTCTCCACACGCCTCTCTATCTCTCATCTCTTTGCGGTTTCTTCTTCTTTTTCTGTCTACATATATCCCAACTGTCTCTTTCATTTCTTCTTTCTCTGTGTTTCTTCTCCTTAATTAATCCTACCATCAGAATTTATACCTCTTTTCCCTGTCCATTTCTCTTACCTCTTACCGCTTCTTCTTCATAGATGGAGTAGAGATGAGGTTCTTTGCATCGTTAACACATATATTTTGTAGATGATGTTGATGTGCTTGTGGGTTTACGCTTATGTTCTTGTGGGCTTATAAATTTTGCTGCATATGTTGTCTTCATAATATTTAACCTAAGATCCTCTATGTATTCTACATATGTATATAGGCCTAAACTATGCAATTTAGTCTCAAATGCTTCACCGTTAGCTCCAGCACCTGGGATTTTAAATTCTTAACACTTTGGAGAGTGTTCCTTTCGGTATTGAAGTAGAAAACATAAAAAGGTTTTGATGTTAACTTCTCCGACAAAACAATGTCACCTCTAGCAGTCATCCCAATGACTAAAACATTGTGGACAACGACCTCATGCTCATGCAAAGTGTAGACATATTTCTTGACTATTTCTCTTTCTCAATTGCAACCCACACGAGTTTGAACTTTTCTCTTATGAAGCAAGAAGATTCGTGAAGAAAAGATAGAACCAGACTAGAACATATCTCTCAAGCTAAGCTAAACTAGAGAGCATCTTCCAAAGAGCAATGTACATGTCAAAGACAAATTCAGAAAAATTCAACCTTAGTTTTCTATTTACAAAAAGGAAAGAAGAACATGTTTACTCAAAGATCGAGGATGTATATTTCAAATACGAGAAGAGCGGTGTCGTTTCTGGCAAAAAAGAACCATAAGACATTTTACTGGCATGTTAAAAGTTAACCATTTTGTAAACTGGGTCTGATTGAGTAGCCATGGGCCGGGCCGGGTCTGCCTTCACCCACAACAAGTCACCGGAACATTTCATGGCGGTGCGAAAATTCACGTGGCATTACAAGAATACATTTACTACCCTTAAAAAACCCTAAATCGTGAGACTAGAGAAGAGGATCGGGAACTTGCGTCAATCTCAAGAAAAGGTATGTCCTCGTCCCCAATATCTCTCCATGATTCTGTTATGTTCAATCTCGTATGTTTCTTACCGAACACAGTTATTTCACTCTCTGCGCTCGAAGGTTGTTTTGTTGTTCTTTTTTGTTGATAATTATTGTGCTCAAAGAGTTTCGTATGCCGATATTGCCTGCTATATAGCTCCATCTTTCTCTCCTTTAACTAAGCTTCTCTCTCGCGTTTTAAATTCGATGGTAATGAACCATATGTGTCAATCTTCCAAGAATTATAATTTGTGATGATTCTTGTTTATCTTGACTTGCTTCTCGGATGTTTAATTGGAGATGTTACCATAAGAATTCCGTTCTAGATTAGAAACCTAACTGCCATTTCTTTTCCCAAATTTGAATTTATTCACTTCAGATTGAATATTTTTTTCCCTTTTTTATGTTTAAAGCCTTCAATAAGACGAGATGGCGAACTACACGGTGGCTGAGGCCAAATATGAGAAGGCTCGAACAAATCATGGGGCCGATTGGTAACGACTGTTAATTCCCGCTGTAGAGACTTTGACTGTAAGAACTTTCGCTGTAGAAACTTTCGCTGTAAAGACTTTGACTGTATAAATTTTATAACCGATTGGTAAAAACTATGACTGTAGAAATTACAATTTTAAATAACCACCAAATATGTGGGAAAATGGATCTTAAAAGAACAAGAAAAAAATATTAATTGTAAATCTACTGAAATTTTTCAAAAATTAATTTATTTGTGAAAGTTATAAGAGTTTATATACATATGAGAAAAAGAAAAAGAAAAAAACTATAAGCTTTTAATTTATTTATTTCTAAAGTCTCATTTACGTGACTTTAGAAAAAAACTGAAAGTAAAGAGTAAAAAATAAAAAAGAGACTTTGAAGACTTTAAAATTTATTAAAGCCAAAAAAGCTTGATTGGTAAAATAAGGCTTTTAAAACTTTAAAAAACTTTTTAAAGTCTTCAAAGTCTCATCCAATCACCCCCATGTTGATGTATTTCTTTGTCTCAGACAGCTCTCACTACACCGGTATAATCAGATACACTGGTGCCCTAAATTTCTCTCCTTTTAATCATTTTCTTGGTTTTCATTTCGATTTTTCATTTTTTAGCTACATATTTGAACTATTTATGCGTTCTTGAAGGAGATCGTCGCTTAGTTCGTTTTTCAGGGTTCCCTTTTAGAGTTGATGTGCTCTTGTTAACGGGTTCTTGAAAAATTGATTAGACTGAAACTTTTCAGTTGAGTGTGACTTTGGAATTGGAATTTTTTTTATTTTGTTGTGTCCACAATGATGCTCTAAAAGTATATATATACATAACTAGGAATGTGAAATATGACTGAGTGGAGTTGTCTGACATAATCAAGAAAGTGAAATTGGAAGTCAGACAAAGTTTTTCAACCAAAGACTATGAAAGGTAAAGACCGTGATCCGGTTTATCATAATAACCAATGAAGCTGAGAGTTTTCGATGATAAATCCAAACACGATATACAGTATACTTTGGAAAGATAGATTTTCGGCAATGAGATTGGAAAAACAATTTAATTGGTGATCATGTTGTTAAATCCTTCGAAAACTCTCTTCTCCTGTTGAAGCAGCAACTTAAAAAAGCATTGCGTTCAGTGTATGAAACAGTTGTATCTAATTTGGTTGTATCAAGAGAGAATTCTCCATCATGATTTGAGAAAAAGGAGTAGCCTCTATCCTGGCTGCAGTGTCCATCAAAAACCAGAGGATTCTCTCAAGTTGTAGTAGTTGCCGTATAAGAAGGGTCAAAGCCAAGACTTGGTGCAGTTTCACTCACTAGCTTTGCTGTGTTTGTGACAGTTCCCGGCGCCGCGGTTTTGGCTTGTAAACTTAAAACATATTGATCTTGATGTGTGTGACTCTGAATGAAAAATAAAATAGACAGACAAATCTTAAAACATATTTTCTTAACAACTTTATTAATTTCTTAATGGTTACAAAGAGAGAATATATACAACTTGCATCAAATAGTGAGCCTTTTTAGCTTACTTGGGGAGCAATCAGGTTTAGAACCTATGTATCATCATCATCATCATCTAAAAGGCACAGAGCATTGAATTTGTTGGCGCTCTCAAGCGTACAAAGATCTGGTTGCGGGTAATTAAAAACGGTACCCACTTGATTACCTTTCCGTAATGTTGATTTTGCAGCATATGTTGTCTTCATAATATTAAACTCAAGATCCTCCACATGGTCTACAAAGGCGTAAATGTTTTGACTGGCATACCATCCTTGGTCTACTCTAAAACCTTTGATTTTAACACTTAAGAGATTGTTGCTTTCGGGGTTAAAGTAGAAAACATAAAATGGGTTAGTTGCCCGAGTCTTCACCAAAACAATTTCACCTGAAGCAGTCACCCCAACAACGGAAAGATCGTATTTAACCTTGACGACTTTATTATCAGCCCTCAGAGTGTAGACATATGTCGACCATTCTTTTTTCGCGACATCCTCTAGAACCCACATACTTAACTCTAGGGGAAAACCACCATCATTAGCATACTCCTGATTAATCACGCCTAATTTACCCTTATAGTTTATCAATTTAGTAGAAGAGCAGTATGTGTTAAGACGGAGAAACATAAATTTCTCAGACCTAACATCAAAGCAAACTAGCACATCATACCTTTCACTAATTTGAGTAGCAAGGTAATACAAAACCCCATTGATGCAAATTGTTCTTTTACTATGAAGAATATAGTTTAAGGGACATTGGATCTTCCTCCACCCAACTGTTTCAGCTCCTAATGTAAGAATATGATGATCCGTTTCAGTTTTAAGATAATTGAATCTCGTGAGCAATATCTTGAATTGCTTGTCAATCGGATCAAACCCTAAAAATCCAGCGCTGGTCATGCTTAATCTCAGTCCAGGTGGTAACATCACATACGCATACTGTCCTGTGCTAGGGTTACATATCACATGCACTTCATCATCACCCTTCTTTGGGATCAGCATATTCGGGCAATAGATCAAACCAGAAGCATAACTACAATGGCATGGGCGTGTGTCTTCAAAGAAATTCATATGGAAATCAGCGGCTACTACAAGAGACGACTTCCCATGATAATCTTGAGGCTGAGTCAACGAGAAAAAGCTCCACTCACCTTCTTGTTCGACAGCAATTAAGAGACGTGGACGAGCTGAAGACCGTGTGAGGAACAACTTGGTGAAGTATGGCTGGCGAAGCATGGACCCCCATAGCTTCGACACGCAGCGAAACCTCGCGATTGACTTTGAAGGCAATCTCGAGAGTATATCAAGAATGAGATCAATAGGAATGGAATCTGTGTTTTCTCCACTATTCATGATCGTTGTTGTGTTTGCGAGAAATCGCAAATTGGTGACTTTTGATTATGGAAAATCTTAGTAGATGATATTCAGGGTCGGCGCTAACCTAAGGCCCAAGAAACATGGGCCTTTACGTTGTGATTTTCTTATGAATTTGCCTCTTGGTTTTAGAATATATGATTTCATTGGTCTATGGATTAAATTTCCATCTCTGAATCTGATAGACTAAATACTAATGAATAATGATTGTTTTACTTGACTACCACGCAACATCATCAACTCGTCAAAGAAGATCTGCTTTGTTTAGAAGAAGAGTACTAACTTAAAGTTTACATTGCTATGATCATTGATGTCAATTGTTATATCTCTGTTTAAAGACATAAACCATAAAGTGTAAAACTTGTCATTACAAGTATTGAACTTTAGAGCAGTCAGTAAAAATAATTTACATTTTAACTTCATTAGTAAAAACAAAAAAGGATGAGAGGGCTCTTAGGCTTTCTAGAAGTAAAAGTCAAAATGCATTCAGTAGTGGGACTTTTGCTGATAGCGCTGAGCCCATGCCTTCTACAAATCAGGCCGGAAGTAGTTGTGAATTGTAAATCTCTATATCTAACATGTTCTAATCTTCCATCATAGTAAATCATACTCCCAATTAATCAAATCTAATTAATTTACCCTTCTAATTTATCAATTGACCATCATAGTAATGTGTAACTGTTATCATGTGTGTATTAAAAAGGAGTATTTGACCACTCTTTAGAATTTTCTAAATGGACACATGACTCCTCCTTCCGCAATAAGCACTAGAGCCAATAGAATCGGACTACCAAAGCTAAGCTAAGACCAAAGAATAGTTGGATTTGAGTTCTTAGTATAATAAAAGAATAATTCTAAATGGTTCCCACATAGACATGAGTCTTCCTTACTCAATCGTCAAAAAGCTAGAGCAAAAGTGGAACAATTTGAGAAACGTTGAAACAATGCATCTTCCATTTTACTTGCTATAGCAAGTTTATGTTACTAGCTAGAAGAATTCGTTTTTTACATACATACTGTAAAAGTAAATTGTATAACACACACACGATTCGTGGTGGTTACAGAAAACAGCAAAAGCTAAATCGGAAGAGAGAAGAATGGGGACAGCGGCAGTAGAATGGAGCGGCAAACAATTCTTGTTCCTCATGAACAGAGACAAATCGGATTTCTTGCAAGTCTAAGGTGGTGTTATTCAATGATGGATTTTAATAGAATTGAAATCCAACACTAATCCAGTGTTATTCAACTAATGATTCTAAATCTAACTTTAAAATTTGGTGTTATTGGATCTTATACTTCATTAGATTTTTAAAGTTTGGTGTTATTCAAATAAGATTTAAACTACTTCATTAAAATCCAGTGTTATTCAAAACTAAAAAACTTGTAAAATCTTTGTATATTAAATCATTTGAAATGAAACCTCTTTGGAGTTTCATGAGTTAATTGTTAGAATCAAAATCCAAGATATAGTGCAGAGATTTTGAAATCCACATAAACAGATTTCTAAAAACAATATCAGAAAACAAATCTAATCCTTAAAGAATTGACTTTAACTCGATCATTGAATAACACCCCCTAACTTATTCTAATCATTTGGATTTTGATTCTAATAATTTACTTATGAAACTCCAAAGAGGTTTCATTTCAAATGATTTAGGAGGGGTTATTGGTTCATGAAGTTATAAGAAATTGGAAATCCAAACAAAAATTATGTGTTATTCAATCATTGATTTTAAAAATTTAATTAAAATCATGTGTTATTGGTTCTATGATTTATAAATACTAATTAAAATATACAAAGATTTTACAAGTTTTTTAGTTTTGAATAACACTGGATTTTAATGAAGTATTTTCAATCTTAGTTGAATAACACCAAACTATTAAAATCTAATGAAGTATAAGATCCAATAACACCAGATTTTAAAGTTAGATTTAGAATCATTAGTTGAATAACACTGGATTAGTGTTGGATTTCAATTTTATTAAAATCCATCATTGAATAACACCATCTTAGTGAGTGAGTGCGATGATTCATAATAATATATTGACTCAAAAATAATCAAACATAATGGTGAGAGAGAGAGAGAGAGGCAAATCCTAATATCTAGAGAGTTTGACCGTAATAAAAATTATAACAACCAATGACGTGCCATAATCACATGTTGGAGATTTTGGGATTGTTATCCAATTATGTATTGTGAAATATTAAATCAACTTTGATAGAATTTCAACTTTAACTTTAATCCATTGTTATTTAATCATTAATTTTCAAAAAATTTTAAAGAAATAAATTTAGAATTTAAGAAATATTTCTTATTAGTGGATGTTATATTTTTGACCTTTTGTTGAAATAAGTAACTATATAATAGCTTAGTTGATAAGAAAACTATATATAATATTTTATATCTTCATGATTTCATCAAAGACTATCTAGAGTTTTAAATCATCTTTTAAAATCCATCAAAATTTAATGAAAATTGGTAATTTTGATTTTCTTATAATGGTGAGATTGTCTCTTGAATTGATCATTAAATTATATTTTGTTCTCTATTTAAAACCTCATTAGTATTATAACTGAAATTAACAAACAAAAATAATCGTATCATCAACAAGCAAAAAAAATCTTTCAACTATGATCATGAATGGCTTACCTTTGCATCTTATTGACGAGATTCTTTTTAGAATGGATCCCAAATCCATGGCGATGATGCGATGTACAAACAAATCTATCAAATCGTATTTAACTGACCCAAGATTTGGACCTCAATACCCTTCATGGGTCAGACCCAATTTGATTAACCTTTCGAGCTCTGACAGATCTCTCGTCTTCTGCCAGCCTTTGGTCTCTTCATCTGATTCTGTGTCATTAGAATACAGAGCAGAGTTCATCAACGAGCAATGTTATATTTTTGGCTCATGCTCCGGCCTTCTCCTACTATACATTGGTCATCTCTTCGTCGCAAATCCCTTGACAAAGAAGTTTCGAATCCTGAATCACTCTGGTTCAAAGCTCCTGCCTCACATAGTTGGTGGTGTCAAAAAAGATGATCCTTATGACCCCAATGGTCCCCTTGTTCGTACAGAGAGAGCGATGTGCGTTGGTTTCGTGGTAGATCCATATCGAACCACCAAGAGATTCAAGATCGTCTGCATACTTGAGATGGAAACGAAGTACAGATTCGAAATCAGCGACGGAGATTCTTGGAGGTTATCGAAAACGACCCTAACGACTAGCTCCAAAAGTGGTCTCAAGACGCGGATGAAACCTGTTTACGTAGATGGCAATCTTCACTGGTTGAGAAACGACTGGAGCCTAATAGCATTCAATCCCGAGACAGAGCAAGCACGACTGATTCCTTGTAGCTTCCATCCAACACCGGACACGAAGGTGCTTTTCGCAGCAAAAGATAAGATCAACCCCCTGACCTTGATATCAGGGACGATAAAAGAAATCTCAATCTACACACTGCTCGGGAATCACAAGTGGGCACTCGAAAGGCAGTTCAAGAATGTATCAATGGAGAAAACATGGCTTAAATGTTGGTACGTAGTTGCATATGACGGCAAGTGTCTAGTGGTGTTGGAGAATAATATGGTGCTTCATGTGTACGACTTGGAAGCTGACAGTTGGGGAGTTTTGGGGACAACCGAATGTTGGTCCGAAGACTTCTATAAGTTTACGCCCTCCTGTTTCTCTATTGAGGAGGATGAGCAGACAAAGGTGAATGTAGCTTGTGATGACCAACAAATCTCCTATCTAACTACAATTATGGAAGTCATTGATACAACAAGGTAAACTATCTCATTGTTTGAATATATTATTCTGAATCATCGCACTCACTCACTAACTGATTCCTTAAACCAGTCAAAGAGACTTCACAAAAAGGACGAGTCCAAGAGTCTTCACAGGGACTTACAGATCCGGTCATTTCCGTTGCTTTCAATTTAACATGTAGTTGTAATCTACAACAATGACACAGCAACGTCTCACATCATCAATCTCAATTCTGTAAAACGAGTCTTCTCGTTTTATTTTGAGAGCTGATGAATTGGCTTCCCTGTTTCTTTTCATGCCTCAGGTTAATATATTGAGTTACTGCTTTGTTACTTCTCCTAGGGACCATTCTGGTCGATTTATTATCTATTTGATTATGGGTCTTGGTAAGATCATCTCTGGTCTTTCCTCTGTGGGAGGGTGACACATTTAAAAAAAATTAAAAAAAAAAATTCATGAATGTTTCTGATTTAAATTTTTTTTTTTGTAATAGCAATATGGTTAAGACATTTTAGTATGACATTAGCATAATCCCAACAAGGCACCAACTAAGCAAACACTATATAATCATCCCTAAAAAAGAATCGAGCATGACTAAAACCAATTTGAACATATATATAAAATCAACAAAGGTTGAGTTCTATCATGGTTTTCACCAAGACATGTACACTTCAACCATCATCCACCGAAGCTGGAGTACTAGCAAGAATTATACTGCTTAGAGGTCAAAAGACGTCACCTAAGATAAGAATGTTTATGTGGAAGGCGACCCGCAATGCTTTACCTCTTGGAAAAGCTTTGGCCATCAGAGAAGTCATAACAGATGCAGCCTGTAAGAGATGCGGCGAAGTTGAAGACACGATGCATGTTTTTGTGCATTGTCCCTATGCAAAAAAGGTCTGGGAGTTAGCCCCAGCACATTGCAAACCGCAAACTGACAACTTGGAGTCGATGCAGGACTGGCTTGTTAGAGCCAAAAAGATGATGGTTCTGCCCCCGATAGGGATAGGTGCCATCCCGCTGTTCCCTTGGTTACTTTGGTTCCTCTGGAAAGCTCGTAACCTTGTGGTGTTTGAAGACAAGACCGTCTCAGAGGAAGAAACTATCCAAAAAGCGATCACAGAGGCTAAAAGTTGGCAGTTGGCGAAACTGAACCAGAAAGCCAAGGCACCTCTCAAACAGCCGAAGGAGAAGACTCCAGTACATAGAGAGGCCTTCTGCTGCTTCTCTGATGCTTCCTGGAAGGCAGATTTTAAGGCTTGTGGAATGGGCTGGATTATAAAGAATCCACAACAGATCGTGATCCATCAAGGAATCTCTTCTCGACCCTCTGTTTCCTCTGTTTTAATTGCAGAGGCACTTGCCTTGAAAGCGGCGATCAATGCGGCTTTGGCGTTGGGTGTTTCCAGATTGGCCTGCTTCTCGGATTGTCAAGAGATTACCACTCTCCTCAACTCCGAAGGTCAAGCTATCGAAATCGACGGGATTCTCGAAGACATTAGAGTTCTGTCGTCTAATTTTACTTCTATTTCCTTTCATCATGTACCGCGTTCTGCGAATTTGGAGGCCGACGCCTTAGCTAAGTCGGCTTTATCTGCTTGTATTTCCTCCTCCGTCGCTGGAGTTTGAGAACCGTTTAATTTAAGAATGTTTACAAAAAAAAAAAAAAAAAAAAAAAAAAAGAGGTCAAAAGATTATGCTATCAACGGTGTGGTTTCGAGAAAATGATATTAAAAAAAGAAGCTTGTGTTAAATTTGATTTTTTGTGTGAACAAACTAAATATCCAGCTTTATAGTTGACCACACTTAATTGTGCTCAGACTAGTTAACTCAGAGTTAGTAAGGACAATAAAAAAATGATTTTAAAACACATAATTTCCAAAATCAGTTGGGGAAGAATTCAGACTCTAAATTTCGAGTTCTTGATCTGAGTTTCTCTAACACAGTCACAAATCGAAGTATTTACTTTTATTTTTGGGAGTCCCAAATTACATGCAGAGAGAAAGAAAGAAGAGTTTCTTATCTAATCTCATAGCAGAGAACAAATGATGTGTCACGGACCAAAAAAGCTCACAGATCTCTCTTGATAAAAATTGCATCTTAAATTCACTTGATTGCAACATATGTGTGTGTGCTCCTTTATCCGACAGAACCAAAGGCCATACTTCTTCTAAATCCTCAGTATTAAGTGACTTGAAATGAAAATTGAAATTGACAGAATCTTAATAAAACACACAATTTCTTAAGATTTTTTTTGATATAACGAATACAACTATAGAGAGAGAATACAAATACAACTTGCATCAAATAGAGAGCTTTGACACATCAACTTGCATCAGCTGACTTGAGGAGTAAGTTAAGCAATTAGGTTCTAACACATTTAAGTTTCAATCATCTTCTAAAAGACACAATGCATCAAATTTGTTAATACTCTCAATCTTGTTCCAGGTGAGCAACGGTCCTCACTTGATGATCTTATCTAGATGATGTTGATGTGCTCTGTTCTGGTGGGCCTATAGATGTTGCAGCAGATGTAGTCTTCATAACATCAAATCTAAGATTCTCTACATGGTCTACAAAGTAATAAACTCTATGATCGCCAAACCATTCTTCCTCTTCTCTAACACCTTGGATCTCAACACTTCGGAGAGTGTTCCTTTCGGGGTTAAAGTAGAAAACATAAAAAGGTTTATATGCATTATCCTGCGCCAAAACAATTTCACCTGAAGCAGTTGCCCCAACAACGGAAAGATTGTTGTTAATTTTGGCGGCTTTATTCTCAGCCCTCAAAGTGTAGGCATATGTAGTCCATTCCTGTTTCTCGACATCCTCTAGAACCCACAACTCAAGGGGAAATCCACCATGATAAGCATAGTCCAAATTAATCAAACCTAATTTACCCTTATAGTTTATCAGTTTATAGTTTACCAGATTGGGAGATACATATAAAAACTTGAATTTCTCCAACCTAACATCAAAGCAACCTATCTTTTCATCCGCTTCATTAGGGTCAGAAGCTATGTAATACAAAACCCCATTGATGCATATATGTTCCCAACGATAACCATAGGGTCCATAGGTTAAGGGACATATGATCTCCCTCCACCTCAAATTTTCAGTTCCTAATGTCAAAATATGATAAACCAATTTGTCATTGACTGTAAGGTTAAAGACCAAAACCTTGAATTGCTTGTCAATCGGATCAAATCCTAAAAGACCGCTGAAGTTTCTGAACGTTGTTGTCAGGTCAGGTGATAAGATCGCAGATTGTCCCGTGCTAGGGTTACATATCACTTTATCAAACCCATCTTTTGAGATCCGCAAATCAGGGAAATAGATCAAACCAGAAGCATAGCTATAATAGTTTGAATCTCTGTCTTGAGAAAACTTCATATGAAAATCGGCGGCTACTACAAGAGACGACTTCCCATAATGATCATGAGGCTGAGGAGAGGAGAAGAAGCTCCACACACCGCCTTGTTCGACCCCAATTAAGAGACGTGGATTAGATGAGGACCTGGTGTGGAACAACTCGATGAAATCTTGACGGCAAATAATGGAATCCCATAGCTTCGACACGCAACGAAACCTAACGATTGACTTTGCAGGCAATCTCGAGAGTATGTCAGGAATGAGATCATTAGGGATGGAATCTGAGTTTTCTTCTCTATTCATGATCGTCGTGGTAGTTGCTTATTATCGGACAGAGAAAGAGAGAGAGATAAGAATACAAATCTGAAATGTGAAATCTCTTAAAGTTCGACCTAATTAGATCTCATTCATGGTCGGCGCTAACCTAGGCCCAAGAAGCATGGGCTCTAAGCGATTCTTCTGATGATTTTGCTTGATACTCAACATCTACAATTATTTCTAAACTCACTAAATTTCCAAAATTGAATTGGGGAAGAACTCTAACCTATATTTCAAGTGCTTGTCCAAAATATATTTTGATGGTACTTCCACTTCTTGCATGTTTGGTTGGGAACATTGACTAGCCAACTATTCAAAAAAGAGATCACTTGTTGATGTAGCACGGTTTTGAGTTATTATGAGTGTACCCAAAATGCTTTTGCTGATGAAAAATAAGATTATATGTCTTAGTGACTCTCTACTTCAAGTCCTCAATGGTTACTGAAACTTTTGCATTTGTTTTCTATGGCTATATTCAGTAACAGGTATATTTAAACTGAAAGGCATAAGGAACCTAAAGAAGCTCATCAAAAGAGGAACGGAAGCTACAGTGATACTAAAGATGAGCGTTCACATCAGCTCTAGGAAGAATCAATCCAGAGGTTAAATTCTCAGGAAGAGTCAAGTGATAGAAATCGCCATGTAACAGAGAGCAACCATCTTCAAAATTGCGTCTCTGCTTCTTCTTCTTTTGGTTTTATCTGACGTACACTGCAAGAAACCTTAATATTGCTGAAGTTTCTTTCCTCAGTTCCGCTACAGAGCCACCAATAATTTTCTTTCCAGCCAAGAAACGTCTTACCAAAGCCATTTTGTGTTTTCTGAAACTAGGTCTTGGTTTTTTTTAGTTAACCTGTGTTTCTCATAATTAGTTGTTAATCAAAGTATCTTTGGGAGTCCACATTTAATCAAATGCATGCAAAAAGAAAGAAGCTCACGTCTCATATCTCATAGCAGAGAATAACTGTTAAGTATTAACCACGGACAAAGAACGCTCACTAATATTCATGTTAAAGATATGAATCTTGATGTTTAATGAAGAAATAAAGCTCACAAATATCATGGGATCGTTTTCTTGTGAACCAAAGTTGGAACAACTTGCCTGCTAGGGCGGCTAAATGAAGACGCTCTGTCACAGTATAAGCTATCGACGCGACGAAGAACCTGTGTCTCAGGTAGGCTAGTTTGGTTTGGATGTGAACCATGGATAGAGAGATCACTATAGAAAATAACCTTTTATGGTGTAAAATTATGCTCCCATCGCAAGGTATATCAAAAGCTTGTCCTACTTCAAAAATCCATAAATCTTGTTTTTTGTTTTGTTTTCTTAGACAAAAATAGCTAAGTCAACAAAATCATAGAGCTAAAAAATATAAGAACAAAAAAAATAAAATAGCTAAGCCAACATAGTGATAATAATTTGTACTTATTCTGCTGCTTGTCCTTCACAGATGGAGTAGAGTTGCAGACGTCTCGAGATCTATGTCGACGTTGTTCTCGCTTTTTCAGTCTTTGTAATGATATTTAGGCCTTGCTTTACTGGGCTTGACGTAAGTTGCTTTGCATGGTTAAAGCTAAGATCATCTACATAGTCTACAAAGAGGTAAACTCTGCAATCACGATTAGCTCCAAAACCTTGGATTTCAACACTTTGGAAAGTTTTCCTTTCGGGATTGAAGAAGAAAACATAAATCGGTTCACATGTATCTATCTTCGACAAAATAATATCACCAGTAGCAGTCATCCCGACAACAACAAGATCAACGACAATATCATCAGCTGCTTCATTACTATCCAACAAATTGTAGACATATTCCGACCATTCCATTTTCTCAACATGCTCCAGAACCCACATACGAAACTCAAGGGTATGCCTAAACCTTGTACCATCATCAGCATTCTTCAAATTAACCACACCTAATTTACCCTTATAATTTATCAATTGAGTAAACAAATTACAAAATTTTGCCTCAATGAACTTGAATTTCTCAGACCTAACATCAAAGTAAACTATCACATAAGACCTTCCATCAAACTGGTGAGCTTTGTAATACAAAACCCCATTGATGCATATCCTTTCCCACATAGGCTCATGGTTAAAAGGACACTGAATCTTCCTCCACCTCATTTTTCCAGTTCCTAATGTCAAAATATGATGATCTGTATCATTATAAGCTATATAACCTCTAGTGTTCATGAGCAATACCTTGAATTCCTTGTCTATTGGATCAAACCCTAAATAGCTGTACGACATGAAGTCCTTTCTCAGTTCAGGTAAGATCACATACTGTCCGGTGATAGGGTTACATATCACACGCTTAGTATCCTCATTCTCCCTTGGGATGCACATATTATGAAAATAGATCAAACCAGAGGCATAGCTACAATTATATTCGCTTATGCCTTTAGAAAACTTGATATGAAAATCTGCCGCTACTACAAGAGACAACTTATTCTCACATGGATTCTGAGACTGAGGCATCGAGAAGAAGCTGTACTCACAGTCTCGTACGGCGGCGAATAAGAGACGTGGACGAGCCAAGAACCTTGTCAAGAACAACTCGGTGAAATATGGACGGCGAAGCATGGACTCCCATAGCTTCGACACGCAACGAAACCTGGCTATTGACTTTGCAGGTAATCTAGAGAATATCTCAAGAAAGAGATCAATTGGGATGTTTTCTCCTCCATTCATGATTGGATGGATAAAGATCTATGAATACGAATCGCACAGACTCTTAATTAATATCATGAAATTGAACCTATTCAGAGTCGGCACTAACCTAATTAAGGCCCAAGTATATTTCAATGGGTTTATTGGTTTTCTCCAATGATTTGTTTTTGGTGAGATGGTACTTTTTTTTTTTCCTATTCACTTTTAATGATTTACTCAACTTTTGGGATGAAATAATTCATCTCTAGCTTTAAAATATATTATTTCATTGGTCACTGGATTCATTTTACG